GGTCTTTTAATTGCTTCCCAATAATCCTTGCAAGCGTGGACTAACATTTCTCAAAACACAAAAAATATACTTCCGTGCGTCTAAAGCAAGTCTATTGGTTGGCAAAATGTTGCCTTGTATCTAACCTTCCAGATGCATTTTAATGCAGTAAACAAAGAATTTGGCATTATCTGTACGTGAGAGCTAATTTAATTTCTACAACATGCTCGTAATATCCTATGCCTAAAACCACGAAAAATAGCTTACTTTATGATTTTAAATTGTGTTGGGGTTCCACAAAAGGATTTAGATTACAGCAAAATAATTTAGATTACCGCAGAAACAATGTCATGCCAATGGATTAGAGGATAAATTCTTCACTATTCAACATCGCGTCCTGTTAAGATTGATATTGCACAAATGACATCGGCGTTTACTTCAGCATAATGGCCGCCAAAACAGTCCAATCAAAAAGATTCCTTTAGTGAAAGACGGCAATGATGCTCCAATATGTCTACACAGTGGATGTCTCTCAAATATTATAAGCGATAATGTACGAATTTCAGGGTAACATTTATGTTCGGATAGTTGTTTAGTTGATAATTACGGACACCACTGTTTTCGGATATTTTCTGAAAGGCACTCACGTAATCTAAGTAGATATTCCGGTTGTAGGGTTTCGCTACGTTTATCTCGGTATGTTGATGCAAATCCCCGACCTGCTAGCCGGAACCCCTTGTTCGACACTCCGAAGAGTTCCCAGAGTAGGAGAAGACTATAGTTTGTGCGGAAGGTTTTACTCTATGAACCAAAGGGTTGAGTACAGGATGGCTTTGGTGTGAAAAGCGATGTGGCGTGACAGTAGAGTTCTAATTAAGTGCACAGAAATTAAGTGAACAGACGTCACAACTCACTTTATTTACCTTGTCTTGGTAAATATTGACATTCTCAAGATGTTATCAACATTTTTTCGAAATTACTTCTTTTAATTACGTAAAAAGTGGAAATTCTTAAAAAAATGTAGGTTAAGCAACTTTCGACAATCCACCTCTTAACTTACAATGTTTCCCCATATTAATTCTTTGCAATAATTCATTCTTGTTTGCCATACCACCGTTTGAAAGAAGTGCAGTACACGGAGAAACCAACTATATGTTGATATCGTACAAATTAACTGATTGCCATGACCTTTTAAAGTTGAAAAAAGGTTACAAATTTTTAATTAGATTACCACCAAATTTCGACTTAATTGACTTGCTGTTTATTGTAAAAGGCATCATATTATTTTGAATTCTGCGTTCAGTGTGTCTTGTGCAAGCCGATGGGATTCTACTTGCGACTTTCGCTAATGCAAACTATTAAGGAACCATAGAACCGAAATGCCGCTCCACAGTAACCTTAAGTTATTAATGACGTTTTAGGTGGATTTATGTTAAAAAGGTCCTTAAGTAGTCGCAGTCTGGGTAGCAAGGGTACTAAATTTTTTTTCGTGATGAGTGATGTCTCCAACTGCTTCACTGCTGACTTGCCGCCCCATCCTTCATTCCTGTTGGTTCCCTAGTTAACTCATCCCCATCCCAACGCCATTTTGCTTGAATCTGCACACACCCTCCGCTCCAGAAACAATTTCGAGTTCAGCCTGTGAATAGCAAATTTGATCCTACTTTATTCCTGTAATTCAGCTCATTGTCACGTACAAATATTAGGCTTGGTTGCGGCTATTTCAGATCGAGAAACTGTAGTTTGGAAGAGTTTGGTCTTCACATATGGAACTCTAGATACGCAATCCAAATAATTATTATATTGAGAGAAAAATGTCACTTTTAATGGTGAAATTTGCTAGGCTGTTCTAAGTGCTGAAACAACGGAGCTTTAAAAAGGTTGGCAAATTACCTGTAGTATGCTCCCGTTCTCGCACTCAGAGCCCACGCGTTAGTGAGCTGAGAATTTGTCCACTTGACCCATGCGATTACCTGTCTGCTTTCTGCGCTAGGTGTTGTAGTGGCTAGAACTTTAGCACTACCTTACAACCCTCTGGTTAACATCTCGTTACAACCCGAGGATAGTGAAAAAAGGCGACAGTGGACTCGACCGTTTATTGGTGTCAAACCAATCAAGTGGTTTCGAGTGCGCATGAGTACGCGGGCAAAACAGGCTAAAGCTGACAGAAATCAATAACAAACGGGGTGAGTCAATGGAACACTCTGGCCCTATACGCGCATCACTCAGGCGAGGTGGCTGTCTGTCCACTACAGTGTCCTACGTCTAGATCTAAGTTTTTAAAGCTTTTGTATTTATTTTTACGCGTTGTACGTGGCTAACACACACACTAGCATAACCCTGGGATGCAACTTTCCATTGCACTCCCAAACTTGCACCCATGTGCTGACTAGCCGTTTTGCCATTTTTGGCGGCTTGCACGTGCTTTGAAGTTCAAGTTAATCCAAATTAGCCACCTTAATTAGTTAATAATGCTTGTCTGTACAGTGCTCTCTTTAATTAAGTAAAACAATGCGGTAGAGATTTAGTAATCTGCATCTATTACTTTTTCGCCGTTTCCTTGACCACGCCACTGGCCTATCTGCCACAAAAAAAATAATTCGTATCTCCATTTATTTTTCTTTTTTGATTACAAGTTCAAAAAGCGTGGCACTAATCTGAATAGGATTCTGTATGGTACCACGACTACCTACGTGGCCCAACTAGTCGTCTTCTTGGCATGTTCTGACCCCACAGTCGACAGTTATCATCTTATGATTTTACTACACAAACATCCCCATTTGGTTTCAGTTCATGGTTAAAATGTTTTATGTTCACAATATCACGCATCTACTAGAGAACTGTAGTTGTCAGTTCAATGTCCCATCATCGAAAGCATTTTACACGGCTTTTATTATAGTGATGTAGGTTACCCATTCTATCGGATGTATGCTATAGCCATTAACGCAAACTAAACGTAGCACAACGCTATCCGTAGTCTTCCGGTAACTTTTAGCTGGTTATAAAAATAAATTTTGATAAAGAGGATCCACTCCAGTGCCGCACAACAAGTTCAGCTTCTGTTATCCAACAACAAAATGGGCCATCCTTATTTATGACTTGAATTTCCCTCAATTCAAATAAATGCCAAACACAACAGTCAACAATCTGGACAGGATCCTGTGCAAATTACTCTTCTCGGCATCCCGATAACATTATATCCCTTTGACTGTCCCCTTGAAGACTCGCAATACCTAACGACCCTGCTAGTCAGAAATCTGCAGTAGCCAGGAGTAAAGAAGACCAAGTGACCGCAGACACTAATTAATTCGCGTTTAGACACGATGAATGTGTGAAAAGACTTACTAATAAGACGATAAGCTGATCGTTAATACCACTAAAGCTGCTAATGACCGCAAACTTGTTCCTAAGATATTTAATTCTCATGTCATAGGTAATAGCCGACCAGTATTCCTTCGAGTTAAAAATTTGAAGTAATGACTTGAAGATTAGCTGTAATGGTGGCAGATTAATGTTGACATGCTGCACAAGCGTGATGATCCACTTGCTAAGTGTATATTGATAAATTAGCACCGTCGCCATTTTCGACGCATGATGGGTCTTCGTGATCTTCATCGTCTTCATAGGCTCTTGACTGCCTACAGCATCACTGCGTATTTGCGTCTGTGAACCTATATTTATGTTTGGTGATGACATTCTGGAAACCAGAGTTGCTAATTTTATGATGTCGAGGTGAAAGTGAAGCACTCTGAGTCAATTAGTTTATTAAACTCCAAGAATTGAAACTTATTCACTAATCACAACATAATTATACCCTCACCAATCCTATTAGCAAAAATTCATTCCAGGTTATCGTTAAAAGAACAATGTCGAGTCAGTGTTAAAGCTTTTGGCCTTCAAAAACCAAAATTCATGAAACCTTCTTAACCAAAACGATGCGTACCTATAGTTGTTTAAGTAGGTATAAATGAGTTGGCAAGTTTGTCTGCTTTGATTCTACAAACGCAGTTGACTTCCATTACGTGTTGTTCAAAGGAAAAAAGCATAAGTGCTTTGCTGCTGTTTACAGAGTTAGAAGGAACAGTTCTACAGCAGTAATGATTTATGCTGGCTGAAGTCTTAAACAGATATTGCAGAAGTCATATTGTGTACAAGACTATGCCGACCTTTCATCAGACATTAGCTTCATTCAACTAGGCAACTGGTTTGGTGAGTTTTCTGGGACCAAATGACCTAGAAGTGTAATTAAATGAGGTTCGTGTTTTGCTAAATATCGCCAATTGATCCGGCGAAGACCGTGATATTTTTACTCAGGACACGAGTTTCATACTCGGTTCTTTTGTAATTTGCACCATGCACAACGGTGGAGTTTGCCAAAGAACGTTTGCACATATTAATTCTAATAAGACTCTTTGATACGCATTTTTCAGCCGCTGCAACTTTAAGTGAACTTTAAAAAACAAGTAGTATTCCTGGAGCGGGTTTAGGGTGAAAAAAGCGTTTCAACAAGTATATTTTCATTGCTAAACGTGTATTTTAAACCAAATGCCGATCGCCGATATCAAGATTACGAATCCATTCAAAGTCCTGAACTTTGAAAAAGCATTTCCTTGTTTTGTACTGTGAGTGCACATTTGGACCATGGCTCGAATGCCCGGTTTTGGTAGGTCTACTTCCACACACTTTCTGCATGAGGTGCAGTACTTTCTAGCAGGTGCCTGCATGGGAAAATCACTGTAAGCTACTCAAGGATAAAGAAGCACACGCTCGTAATGGCTCTTCAGTCGTTTTTTTATCAAATTTTTAAGAACACAAACGTTAAAATATAAATTATATTTTAATGGTAAAATTTTAATGGGATTAATTTTCTACATATATATTTTCATCAGTAAATATATTTTCAAGTTAATGGAGGTAGAATTAGTATTAGGAAGAGATGCCGGGAAAGAGACATAATTGGACTTTGAGTAGGGTGTTAGAAATATAACAAGTTGATGATCAAACCATGGTCCTAGCCGTATTCAAACGAAACTTGCTTCATGGACTGTGTACGTCGGTGGTGGTAGTGGTGGTGGAGGAGGAGGATTTCCTGAATTTGAAGAAGGGAACCCAGTCTCCGAGCTCACCATGATCTCTTCGGTTGCCTGGCTTTCTGATTCCGGCTGGTGGTGTGGAGATTTTGTCAGTTGTTCTCCTTCACTACTCCGTGGTTTAGTTGTTGTCATTGTCTGTTCTTCCATTGACGTGAGTAATTTGGCATTAGGATCAGTGATCGATTCTTCGTCTTCCTCATCGTCAATCTCATGTTCCTTGAATTCTGCCTCGATGAAGGCCTCACTGAGAGAGTTTGGACTACTCCTCTGGTCAAAAGCTTCACTGCCACCCTCTTCGGAGGTTCCGCCACCTACCACATCTTCTTGTGCGCTAGGAACAGTAGGAACCCGAACTCGCTTCAAAGTTACCACGGGTTCCATTAACGGGGTGATCTCACCATCAGGAACCATTCGAGAGTTCACTACCGCGTATCGATTATTCGGGGCTGCAACTGTATAATTAGTTATTGGTTGTCTCAGCCGACCATAAGGTGGGCTTGACACTGCTGGTGGCGCTATCTCCACAAATTGCTGCATTGGACGCGGTTGCCGCTGCAACGTTGCAGAGAGAAGATCGAGGTCGTTGTAGGCGTGTCGGTCGTCAGTGAAGACGTAAGGCTGTCTGTGAAGGGCATTTTGCGGAGAGTAAGACGATAGTTTGGCGTTATTATTAGGTTCGGAAATTCCTCTGCAATGCACAACGTGAGAAGGTGGACTGCCAATTATGGGCGTATAAACATATGGTGGGTGGACGTAGCGGTAAGGAGTAGAAGTGGATACAACACTATGATTCGGTCTTAAACTAGCACAACGCCGCTGGAACGTTGTGGAATCGTATTCGCTATGTTGACCAAAATTAACGGTGCGAGCACAACCGTTGGGCCCAACAAAAGTACCAAAAAATGCTGGAGGTACTTCGTTGGTTTGTATCCTTTCACGTGACACCGTCTGGGGATAGTTGAATGCGGAGCGCGTCACCACGTCGGGGTATTCAGAGGTACCCATAGGATAATCTGATGCTCCCGGGCTGGTGATGTAAACAGACTCTAAATTTGTTAGCACCGCAGCACTTGCACTCATTCCTCTTCGAAGACCATAATCCTGTAGAGAGGCTGCCACGCGTTTCCCGTCAGCTAAAAATACAAATGACTACGTAAAACTAAACTCAAGGTAGGTTTACGCTTGAGGCTGTGTGTCTGCATAATTTATTTGCTCTCACCAACATACCGATTTCATGCATTTTCCAACGAATCAAGTCTTGACCAGGAGTTAGAACAAAATTTTTCAATTCTTGTTTGACCACGCCGAAAAATATGTGCTGCGAAAGGTGTCGTTGTTCTTCACACAGTTGGTACGCCATTCAAGTGGCTCACATATTGCTCGATATCGTCTTGGTTTTTCCTCAATTCTTGGTTACCGTTTTCCAACTTTCCATTCTGACTGCGATGCTAGCGTATGTACAAATGTAACAAGCTTAGGCTAAGTACAGACAAGGTGATCAAAGTGCTTGCTGTTGTACGAACGGAAGTCAGTGAAGTCAAAGTTCTGATCCTGACAATTAATATTTACTTTGGTAAGGTAATTAAGACAATGAGCACATTGGCAATGAACAGTAATTATTGAGGTGCGTGTGAGCTAACTGAACTGCTTGCAACTTTTATAATTTTTTTCATGCTTTTATTTGTCCTAATCAACTGTTTTATCCTTTGCTAGGTAGCAACAAGTTTCATGTCTTTGGGTTTCAATCGCCATATCGCATATTATTTTAGTCATTGTAAGAGTATAGATAGATTACATCTTTGATTTACTCCAAGCAAATGTTTTCGACCTTTATTGTCTGTTAAATTTAATAATATATCGCAAAATTAACTAAGGTTGCAATTCGCTTTATGCAAGATCAAGGCAACACATCAGTTAATACTTGGGGACAGAAGGTTTGATTTCATTTTCAAATTAAACCTCGGACTTCACAATATTTGTTTTGCAATGCGCCAGAGGCCGAAATTCGTAAGTAGCACTTTCACATTTTTGAAATCGTAATTGCCCAATTCAATAATGCCAATATCGACTAAATAATATATATTCCAGTTTTTGCGACCCAATTTATTAAAGCCGACAGATTGATGAAAATTTGATCATCCCCTTGGGGGCAAATCAAAGTCATGTCAGTCTCCGAAAAAGCCAATTTTACTCATAAGTTCAGGTAACCCACCAGTAAAACATGTAATTGCTTTTCGGTTTTACCAGAGGGCCAGTTGTAACAAGCTAGCATTAGTTTCCACACATGTGACTGTGGGTGTGTTTTCGTGGTGTTCCGTTGTCGACTGTCAATAGAGTGGCTGCCATCGCTAATATAAACAAGCAGACAACAAGGAGGTGCATCCAGAATAATGAATCTTACGCCTCATCATTTTGTGATTGATTGCACCTCTTGAAAACACGTTAACGTAGAGTTAGTTTATTGTGTTGTGAAGCAAATGCAAATTTAGCCAATTTAAATACATCGATTGCATTCTAATTTCATGAAGACGTAACTAACTGAGCTATCTACGGAACATGTTTTTATAGCCTGTGTTGTCTATATAAAGAATGCGCCTCTACCTACGCAAAAGCATTGCACGCTCCCACGAAACCGTTGCTCGTAATTGCCTTGTCAGTGGGCTGCAACACTTCGAATTTCGCGGGCGAGAGAACAGCGCAATGCCAAAATGCATTTTTTGCAGGCAAGCTGGAAAACGATTACGTCAATCGTGAACTAATTTGTTGAAGGTCAAGGATATTGCGGTTAGTCAAAGCAAACAAAATCGGTGGTGTATCAAATCGATTTTCGTGCACTGTTTTATTTGTATGCAGCAGTGACTGGAGTTCTTATGACGCAAACTCCAGGTAAGTGACTTTGCTTTAGGCGGGAAGAGACTTCCGGTCCTCAGAAAATATGCCTGTCATTCCTTCATTTTGTTCCATTAGGACAAGCCAAAATTTAAAATCACTTATTTGACATGTGTAGTATGCTGTAGGGAGGTTTAAAGTTACCTAGTTGCTAAATCCAGTGCCAATCAACACAACATCATGCAGCGTTCCCTGCAGGTTTAGTTCCTTTCTAATTATTTCTGTTTTTGGACCACAATTAAACTACTTTACTTGATGCAAAATTTCACCATGATTGAGTGTGGCTATCGGCCTCTAAAGCATAGCACTCATGTGGTGATACGCAAGTGGTTAAGATTCTTTGTGGCAGGAAAATTTTTCAGCTTTATAATATTTGCGTTATAGAAACTCCCGTATTGCACCGTCTTGAGGTAAAAATGATAGGTTCCATTTGTGTACCTGTGTACATGGGCTGTTGTTAACCATTTAATGAGACGTCAGCGACATTTTAAATAAATTTATATTGTGCCACTTGCCAGGTTGATCATACTTAACCCACTGCTTCATTTCTGATTCTCTCTAAGCTCCACTTGGAATTTGTTGACTTAATGAACAGTGCTGAACACCAGTGGTTACAATTGTCATTTGGTTGTTTCATACGTAAAGGTAACTGGCTTTTATTAGAATAAGACATACATTTTATAACGCCTTAGGCTTCTTTTTGTGTTTTTACAAAACGGGTCTCGGTGTATCGTCTTTTTTTGTCTAGTTAGCCTTCATCAATCACCTAAACTTAATGTGACATCAGTGAGTTTTTCCAAAGCAAATCAATTTTGGAACCTGGATTATTCAATCTCAAACAATCGTCTGCTCTTTTATTTAGCAGTTAGTTTCATTTTTAAAGATATTTTCAATGTGTTATATGCTTTTATCAGCAAAATGTCCATACCTATAAGCCCAAATTGCAACCTCTTTAAAGCTAATTTTGCTTTGTGTTTCGTATAAAACTCTGTTTTTTTAGATAACCGGAGGCTAAACTGTTCTAGAATTTTTTTGGCATGCTTTAAAAGAAGGTAAAATTCAATAATTACAGGACCAGGTTTTTGCGATAGCAACTTTTCAATGAAACAAATTTGGCACAGTTCCTTTGTTTTTTTGCAAGAAATTCGTTATTTAGTGGTGCGTTTGTATCTGACTATGTGCATACTTACGAATAGGGTTGAGAGCCAATGTATCAGACACAGATCCTTCAGGAATGTTTTGCCGATCGAAGTCATTGTCAACAAACACAATCTTTCCAGGCGCCTGAGTGCATGGAACCATGCGGTAAACTGACGTCTTTTCATTGGTTTCTAGGCTCTAGAAGAGATTGACTACAATGAGTATGCTTCTATAAAATTTAGCGCAGGCAACATCAGCATTCTTGGGGTTTTCAAGGTGTTACCAACACAGCATGCAGAATGGTCCATCAAAATATCTTAAGTTACTGAGAGTAAACATGGTTTTAGTGCTGTACTTTCACTAGTGCGTCAAAAACTATTATGTGATTTAGCGGTAAAATCCCATCATTTTGCTTAAAGTAAACTTTTCGACTTTAGACATTAGAATAGAAACACCAAAAGAACAGTCATATTACTTCCAGGAGAAAAATAAATGCTAAATCAATCGTTTATGTTGCTGCGACTCCAGGTATCCCTTCATTTTCAGGTCAACTATTTACAGTTTGTAACATTCAATGTCTGCCTTCGCTTACCTCGCACGCTGCAGGTGCTTCGCATTTGTAGTTGCCTGAATTATAATCAGGATTTGTGGGCGTCTCTGCAACTGGAAAAAAGTCATTGTGATGCAAAAATTACGAAAAGTGGGCATTCTATCCACCATCGGGATTTTTCATGATGTTCTCATTTTTCAAAGTATGACGGAACTCCACACCACGGTTATGTTTATTTATGCACAAAAGAGGGGTAACTTTTTTCTAAAACGTAGACTTTGCAATTTATATTAGTAGGACACGCAAGATTGATGCTTTTGGATTAAAGATTCATTAAAACCCTCCGGTCTTTCGATTTTGACGATCATGCGGCGTTCATAGGCAGTTGAGATTGATGGTTAATCCGAATTAATAGTTACAAAGGCAAGGAATTCCGGTCATGCAAAGTGCCATGCGAAACATTACCGAACACTTGCGTAATAAATTATTAATGTGACAAGGACTTGCTTGCGTTGTGAATAAATCACAAATTACTTTGTTAAAACGAATACGCTTCTGATATCTGTGATTGTGGTTTGGTGATCAACATTGTTGCAAGTTTGATAGGCCAAAACAACCAAATTAGCCTTCATCAAGCAATAAAAGTTGTTTCATTTCAGGTTTTTTTTGAAAAAAACTCAGATCTGTGCAGATTTGCATGAGGTATCCCAGCGCTGCTGCGCTTTAGATCAAATGCAATCACAAGTAAGCTTGAGACAATTTGTGGTGTCTTACAGACTCCGTTTGCTGACAAGCTGTAGGGTTATCTCAGTCTAAACTCAAACGTCCATGATCTCACCGGTAGATATGATTTCAATATGTACGTGTCCATGGTATAATGTGGTGAAAGCTTGTGAACGGATTGACTTAATTGCAAATTAACACTATTAAAATGGCATGGGAAGTGAATGATTTATGCATCTGAGTGTGCTGGAAAGTAACCAAGAATGCTACTCTTGATTCTCTGTACCAAGTTGTCAAATTCTTTAGAGCCCTGAAGACACAAAATGTAAAATAATCTAGATCTTGGGTTTTCATACTGGTGAATAACCGGCATTCGTATCCAAATATACCATAAGCCATGTCTCATATATAAATACGTGTTAAAACGTTCTAGGACAATATTTCTGAAATAAATATCTTATATAGTGCAAAAGGTTCAAACATACAATGTTCTCCAGCCTTTTCGAAATTTGAAAGATAGTGAAACTTTTGACAGAGTCGCTCTTTATTCGACATATAGAGTCATTTTACATACAAAATAACTTTACAGCACACCAGAAAATTTTGTATGCCTTTTTCAAAGCAAATGCGTGAAAAAGCTGGAATTGAGGCAAAGAAAAGTAGGAAAAGGCCACCATTTTTAGTTTTGGCTGCTATGTCCTAATTTGCTAATCAAAACCCTTATACTGCTTAAATTGGGGCTCAAAATTAGAATTACTATTAACCGTCATTTTTTACTTTGGTGCATTTTTAATTCAGCAGACAGTTGGAGTGAGTAACTGAGCTGACTGCTTGGTACGTGGCAGACGGGCGTCAATTAAACGAGGTATGTGAATCCGAGTGTTAATTCACTATCCATTAGCCATGCAACGTCGTTTGTGTCAGTGAAACCAATATATTCCCTCATGTGACAGCCACGGTGTAACTGCCAGCGATTTTCATTGCTTCATTTCACATAGTATGATCTTTCACAAGTATGAAACAGTAGATTTTATTTAATTTATAGCTTACATAATAAGCAAATGTGTTTTCTGTACGGCTTGTAATTAGTCTTTGGGTAAAAATACTTGTTTACGAGTGCATTGAAATTGTAACTTAATTGGCTACTTTATGATATTTTCACGGAGTTCAGTATGCACTATGTCTTAAACTAGTTTTGATTTATTTGTAGTCAAGAATATTACACTAACGTTTTCGCAATCTAGTAAGCATGCATGACTGTGTAAGAGACGTGTGTAAGGTAATGTATCACAGAGACCTCTTAATGCATGGACTTTTCACAGATCGAACCCATGTAATTGTGTATTATTTTGTAGGCAGCACGAAACTCCGCTGACATAAATGCTTGCCAAGCTTGACTTCCATCTCAGATATGCACCCAACTTTATTGTGTTCTGAAAGCATACACTGCAGCACTTTAACATACTGCAATTTTATCATTTACTAAACGTTCTCAATTATGTTGCATGCACGTCCTTATAGTCTACCGTGATGAGTGACAAGTTGATTATGCTTTTTAAAAGCAAATTACGGTATTAAATATCGCTTTTGTTTGCGTTTAAGTGAGCCACAAAAAATTATATGCTTCATGTCCTCGCACAAAAAAATGGTTAATGGATCCGCTAACCCTATCAGTAAATTTCGAACCAAACGTTGTAAATCTAAACTACGTGAGTCTTAATTTTAGCTACATCAAAGGTGAATCACAGAACAACCCCTTCCTATTAGTTTCTTTTTCTCGTTGAGAAAGTGCATTTGAGAAACTAATAAACACACCGGCAGCTAAAACCTAGTTGACAATACTTAAAGTCCGATTTTCTCTTATAATCCAAAACTTTAGTTCTGAACAATTAAGGTTTGGAACATTGTTTAAAATGTGGCCTTCTTCCAGTTAAGATTACCTAAAATTTATTCGACAAATTATCAGTGCATTGATTAAGTGTAAGAAATATGAATTAAGTCCAGGTGAGCATGACATGTATTCACTTATTCCGGTGTAACTGTCCTCACTCTGTTCAAGAAAACAAAGTGAGTAGCCTCATGTACATCAGTGAACAAGAAAGAGACTGCCTCCGACTTCATAAACACGTCGGCAGCCTGCGCACTACCGATCTACAAATTTGGCTCTGTTTATTCCAGTTCGCTCTTTTCGACGTGGCCTGTTTGTGTGTCATGCTAAAGCACATCTAGTGATCCATCAATGAGTCACGTAATAAGTAATTTTAAAGACGCATAAGGACGCCAGTTATTTTAATAAACTCGGAAACTCCCTCATTTTAAATAACATATGTTGTCTTTTCTTTAGTAACTTTCGATTAATAAACAAATTATCACCTCGGCGACAGCTGATAAAGTGATTTAATAGATTGCTGTTATAAATGCCTTTTCTTGGAATGGCAGGAAGTGCACTGACGCACCTCGGATGAGGTAATTGTGTATGTGTGTATGTGGAGACCAAGAGACATCTTTTTAAAAGAAGTAACCACTGGAGTCTTTCAAAATCACCAAAAACCGAATTGTGAATTTGGACAACTCCACAAGCAACTGCCATTACTCAATCACCCGCGTAGCCAAATAAAACAATGCTTTCGACAATATGCAAAATTGTTGCAACTAATGACGATAATTATTGTTCACGTTTCCATTTTTGTGGGCTACAAAACAGTTTACAGGATCAATTTTCATTCAAAATTCAAAAATCCATCCGCATGCTTACCACTAGACACCAAAGTACAGTTGAATAACTCGCCTCGGTAAGATGTGTTCTGCAGTCTTGCTTGTAAGTGATTTCCTTTATTTATACCTAATGGATTTTACTATGAAAGCAGACATTTAAAACAGCAATTATGGTAGTGGATCTCTCTATGATGTAGATGACAATGTTCGCTTCATGTCGAAAGGCAAAACTCCCACTAATCTGTTTTTAATTTTGCATAAACCTTTTCTAACAGGTATTCCAGAAAAAAGAGTACCTCATTAAAACTCACAGACTATTGACTTTTGTAATTTGAATTCTGACAGTAGAGGAATTCTAACTCAGGAGGATGCATAGAGCTTATTGTCTAAGAAAATTGTGCTTCTGGAAGTGATCACAATTCTTAAAATTATTCCCAACATTCATGGTGGCATCTTTACCTGCCACATGGTAGTACAAAAGTTACGCAAATAAAACTGTTAGGCACATGGCAACCAGACTGACCAGCCGAATACTTTGTTTTAAAAGTCAGAAAAAAACTTGAATTGGCTAGAAAAGAATTAAAGTGACTCTGGTACTCTGCTTATCCGTATTCCCTTATTCACAAGCAGGAAAACATTCTTTTCTCAAACCCAAATTGCTCTCTATTATTTATTCCTAACAAATCCACAAATATTTCTCAATGGACAATCAAGTTTAAAATCTCTGACGGTTTCTTGTTGACTGTTGCGGTTAATGTGTAACACAAGGTTGTGCGTGTCTGGTTGATGACAATGCATTGTTCCATGCTTTTGGTATCAAGTAAAATTTCCCAAAATTCTCCATTCAAAACGGAAATTAAACCTTTGTCATGGGAAGAGAATGTAAATCTTTCTGCACCGCCTTATTTTCTGTCTGAATATCTGCACCACTCCAAACTTTGCAGCTAATTTAGCATTAAAGAGCTACAAGAAGTATCTCGACTTCCAATTCTCAAATTTAATGGAAATGAACAAAAAGAAATTTATCCAACACCACTATTTCTTACCTCTTTGCTTTTGCTTTCCTCCGATTGAGAAGTAGATTGATTTCCTTTTCACCAAATAGACTAGTAATAAAGCAGCGCACAGAAACACGGCAAATATCACCGCTACACAAATAATCACTGCTTCACTGACGGTCACTCCAGTTCTTCGATACAGTGAACCCGATGGTTCGTATTCTCCTCGAAGGTACCGATGTTTATCCTCCCACTTAGACCGCGAGGAAGCCCATGGCACAGCAGCCTCCCCAAATAGCTCGTTGTCCCATGAGTCGGGATATCCTACTCCACCTCCAGCACCAGATGATGGGGATCCCCCTGTGTAGCGTCCTGGTGGGACGTAAAGGGTGGTGTCCTGAGCGCCGGGATAGACCAAGCCCCCAGATGATCCCGGACTACTTCCAGTGGGTCGATTTATGACAATGCGCAGACGAGCTGGAGTGGCACAACGTGGGGGAATGCCCTGGTCGCAAGCTTCCAATTGAAGAAGATAACTGACAGCTTCTTTAGCAAATGGGTGTGCGGACTTTAGAACAAGGGAACCGGACAACGGGTCGAGATAGAAAAGATCATCATTGTTTCCGGCGGTAATGGCATAACGAATGTGACCATTTCGACCAGCGTCAGGATCATGTGCTTCAATTCGAACGAGAGGACGCACAGCTGAATTAAATGATACACCGAAAAAATATGTTAAATCAAACACAACAATTGAATCAACTAAAAAATGCAATGCTTCGGTTTTTAAAAATTACCTTTGATAGTGGCAATGCCTTAAGTGAGGACCTAGAGTCAGAACGGCTTACTTAATCTTTTTGTACTATTACACGAAGGAATGCGTGCAGTTAATTGGAAATACAATAAACGTAACCATTAGTAACTTCAACCCTTTATATTATTCTCTGTTTGGTTGTGAAATTCTGGACATTATACTTAAAAATGCCAATACATATTGCTTCAACAAAAAAAGAACATTTGGGAATGTCATAAAGGGAGTCAAAATGCATGTAGTCAACCACTTAGGAAATGCTTCTTAAACACATCCGCACCCGATACGGAAGACGAAAAACGAAAGATCAAGGAGCTGAATACCACAAAAACTTACTGGTTTTAGGCCAGGAGCTAACAGAAAATGTGCTGTGATTTTATTTTACCTCAGGCCTGCAGCTGCAAATGGTGACTCACAGAAAAACAAGCCTATGGTGTCTGGCAACTGGTTTTCACAAATATTCCCTGTTCGCACTTCATTCATTTACTTCATACTTTACTTGTGAACAATCTTAAATGTAGTAGAGCATGTTTCTCTTCATGAAAGTGTTCACGGGCCGTACTGCACGAATACACAAGTTTCATTAGTAGACAATTACTATAAACTGGTATGCAAAGCCACAGGCTTGAAGTTGTAACTACCAAAAGCTGGGTCTTACTCCCCAAATCTTTCGGACAATTTTAAATCGGCTTGTTCAAAGGTATGTGGCCTTCTGCTGAATCAATAAGGGTCAGGAATGTTAGTAATTGGGATCTGGCATAGCTATGATTTTTTGATAGTAGAAAATTACAAGTAAGCTGAAGGCCCACGGCTTACTGATGTCAATTAAAACATAAGAGTCAAGGGCTTTACCGCTACCATCGCTTGCACCACCACCGGTGGGCATGTTGACGGCCACGACAGGGACTTGATCGGTGTCCAGTGAGCGCGAGTCGAGCGGCAACGGAGGTGCACCGCTCTCGAGGTATGAACTCCCATCCGGTCCTTTGCTGCTCCCTGATTCCGGTGCCGGTCTCACAAACACTGGATCATTGTCATTTTCATCCTAAATTTTTTTAAATTTTTCACGCTTAATAAATTACCACAAATTTATTGTAAAGAACGCACTTAAGATCATTGATAAAAGAAACACTACCAACAAAATAATTTGCAGATGGCTATTAAATGCCAAGTATTTGGTCTATCAGGTGGACGCAAAAGCAATGTCCTCTTCCAAGGTTTCATTTAAAACAGTCATGAATAAAAATATTTAACTATTACCTAGAACATCTAAAACTATGTTAAAGCAAAATTCAAAATAACTTGAAACAACTGTAATTGAAATAGGGTATTACATTTTGCTCTGCACTAATAGTTCAGTTAATGACTGCCACTAGTCTGCCTCCATTCCATTTTGCAAATTATAATGAATGCATGACTCTGACGTCAAATTGAAGATTATGACGTTTCATTTGATGACAGATTTGCTCAAGCATTTTAGCAATAAGTGCTGTCAATGATCAAATATTCAGACCAATATCACTGCAACCTCGATTTTTGAAAAGTGATTAAAATCTACGCTGATAGTCGCATGAATGTCATCAGTTGTGCTCATTTTAACTTTATTCTGTATGATTTGAAACTTGGAATATAATTTTTCTACACCATTCAAGTGAGCAAAGGTGCTGAAAAATGGTTTGATTATACCCTACAATTAACAGATAAATATTCTTATTTAATTAAAGTAATCCATTTGTCAGAACAACCCATTCACACGAGTAATATTGCGATCTTACACAACCCATATCAAAAGACAACGCAATTAACCTTAGAAATTTGTATTTTGGTTTGTGTATAATTAAAAAAAACGGTTGAAATTTTTCATTTTTTCCTTTTCCAAAAAATAAAAAAATTTCATTGTGTATTTAAATAGGAGTCTGAAACGACACCGTGTCAAAACTAAGCACTTCCAAAAATTTAAAGCTCGGCCAAACCTAATGACAGGTGTTATCATGAGGTGCAATATGACTGATTTCTTGCGATTATGTTGCAACATTAAAAAATATGGGAGAGTTTGGGCTAGATGTGGTGTTTCTGGTTAGTTATTTTTAGTAAAGAATGACACAATATCGTTTATGAGGTTCTGAGACTTTCGGTTGGAGAAATTTCATTTAAATTGGTGTAAAGCTGTGTGATCTTGACATGATACGCGTTTAACGAACATTTAGACTTTACAGCATTGGCAGTCAGTTGGCACAATTTAAGTGCCTTCGTGAAAACTCTGAATTCGAAAAATACCACTTGGGAGTGTGTTGCGGCTTCACTGCCAACATGTCGTGTTTAGAGTTTTAGATCAGAAATAACAAAATATCTGCCACCACACTTCAGAAACTCAATTAAAATCAACATAGTTATCAGCGCATGATACATCAAGCCCAAGTGACGTCTTAAAAGTGGGTAGTCACCACGGTGACTCACTATGAATTTCAAGGTGGATGTTATTAAATTAAAATCCCTTCATTTGTGCACCGTATTTGCTAGATGACCTTTTGACATTTTCAGAGGCATAACTACTGTCTATCAAAAAGTCTCATGTTTCATGGGTTGCCAAGTGCCAAGCTGTTCGTCTATGAATGGGGCCACTGCCTTGATGAATCAGAAATGTCTGCGAAGTACCAGATAAAAGAAGATTGGGCGATGGTGGTGGTGGTCTTGTTCTCGATCCAGGTTACTAGAATGCACACATGTGGATTTAAAGACGTCGGATATCTGCATTTGAGGATGGCTATGCGTGTTCATGGCCTGATTACATGCACACTGGCCTGCTGCAAGTGTTCACTTGTATACACAAACTTTAAATGGTGCCTCATGCCTTACAAAATGCACATATACTTCCAATTATGGTGTTTCATTACAAAAGCTGGAAATGCTCTACTGGTGACAGAAAAGCGGTCTAGAATTGCTCAAAATTTCGACCATTCACAAGGAGAGAGAAAATAATCCTAAGATTTGGCTTCACAGTGTAATGCAAGGAAATATAAAAAAGTTTCAGCCATGACATCGGTAAAAAATATTCCGTCATTAATAAAACTAAATTTCTGTAGGACTTCTAACTAATTCACTAATAAAACCTTAATGGAATAGTAAAATTACAAAATCTGTACCGATTGCTTTTATTAAACCATAACCAATTTACTTAATCAAAGAATATTGCTCTTATCAATATAGGATATGATATTTAACCTAACTTGAATCCTTCAAAATGCTTTAAAATAGATGTCTTGTATTCAGCCATGAGTAACATCCATAACTCTAGCAAACTAGAAATAGTGCTCTACGGTTATGCAATGATGTTATTGCAGACAATAAAATCAACTACTCCAAAACATACCTCAACCGAAACGGAAACCAAAGCAGTGGATGTTCTAGAAACTCCATCAACAGGGCCCTTATCAACAGCAATTACATTGAAGGTGTAATTAGCATAGGCTTCTCTATCCAGCGGTCCTGTTGTTCTCAACTGTCCAGATGTTGAATGGACACTAAAAGCGTTTTCTATGTGGGGTGCGGTACCTGGTGCCAACTTAAGTGTTACCCCACGCGATGATCTTGAGCTGTCCATTGAACTTCCGTTGACACCGGAAATTCGTGGAGGACTCCAGAAGCTTACATCCAGGTCAATTGCCCTTATTCGACCGACAAGTGTGTAAGCTGGAAGATTCTCTTTTATTGAAAAATAATAGGAATCAGTAGTTGTAGATTCGTCTGTAGCATCGGTGACATATAACTGTTGGCTCTTTCGGTCGTCTTCATTGAAAACTTGGTAAAACACTGGTGACCAATCATTCATGTCGGATATTTGCACGTAAACACTCGAAGTGCCGGTATGTTTAACAGCATTGGGATTAGAGGGCTGATCTACAGCAGTTACTTGAAATTTTATCAATTTCTCTCTTTCGGCATCAAAGGACCTCAGTGCAAATAGCTCTCCTGTCAATGAATCTATTCGAAATAGGTCCGAAGCTTGCGCGGGGGCTATATCTTTTTCGTAGTCGCTCACTGGGAACAGTATTGGTCGATATTTTGGCTCTTCAATTTCAATCGATGGCAGTATCTTGTAGACAATCCTTGCGTTTTCTCCTTCGTCTTTGTCGTAAGCAATCACACGTCCAATTCTATAGCCCAGTGATGTACTGTTCGAACCGATCGAAACTGGAGGAGCCTTGGTGTTTTCGTTGACTGAGAAATAAAAAACTGGCCAAAGGAAGCTTGGGGCTTCGTCATTAATATCTAATACGCGAATGTTTATAAGTTTATCTGCAGTATTGTTGGCGTCATCTGTACAATGGATTCGCACTCGAAGCATCTTTGTAATTTCCCGATCAACGGGCACCTCAAGACTGAGAAGAAAGTCGTTGTTAGTTGGTGCATTATCTGCGTTTCCAGTGGATTGCTGGTGCGACAATGGAGTTATGCGCTTTAGGGAGAGGTTCCTGTTATCGGGAACAGAGCATTCAACACGGTCTCTGCCATCAAAATCTGGATCGCGTGCTTGGATGTAGGCAAGTTGGACAGGCACTGTTGAATTCTCTGTTATAACGCCTTTAAAAAAACGATAAAGCGTAATTAGAGACTTTGATCTGGTTTTCAGGATTGAGCTTTCAAATTTATGGAATAAAGCCGATGAAACTGTAACAATCAGTCAGTTTCTGCATTAAAAAATAAAGCGAATACCAAAAATCACTTATATTACTAAACGTTTCACTAAATTATGTTAAGATTAAGTACCCGTAACCTCCAATAGTAATATCTTTGTGTTATCGTTGTACCTATGTGTATATTTATTTGGTGCGAGATAAAGCCAAGCAACACATGCACTAAAAACGTTTGACATAAATGTGTCTTGACATAGTCGAAACAACAGAGCGACTGGCCTAAATATAAAATGGCAATTTTTTTTGTCTACCGTATTTTGGACGTCTTGTTGTGTAGGATGCGAGGTTCGAAAGGTATGAAATTATAAGCTTACAATGAAGTCGCCTTAAATTCCAAAGCAATCCATTACCGACTGCCACTAATCGTCTAGGTTATTGGTTATTTTCGAGATAAATCTTTGCCCGAGGTCTAACGCAATATTAGCAATTACAAGTAAGCATTTTCAGTTAACCAAGGTGGACAATTTGAAAGGCAAGCAAACAGGCTGACCGATGTTTAATAGCAATTGTACGAGGCCAGGTGACTCAGACTAAAGGTTTTTCAAATAAAGTGTTTGTGTCAAAAAGTACACAACGTCTACAGGCAATTAATGCTGCCAAAGATGCGACTGCTGAATTAACTTAGAGCGTCCATATTTTTTGGCCTGCAACCTCTGTGAGAAAAGGGATTGTAAATGCAAATGGTTAAGGTAACCACCTCTGTCAAAAAAATTCAACCATCTTTATATGGTTTTATTATTCATCCTCACGGTGAATTGCTGAAAACTAATGGAGATTCTATTGATTGCAGTTTGTTGTAAAAGGAAAGCACATTGATTTTCACCTATCGGTACACTTCATACCCAATGTGGTTCTAGCACAAGCATTCCTGAAAGCACTTATAGGATATCCCAAAAATACTTCTTCTCTCATCTTCTTAAAAGAGCATTTTAATCATACACATTTATGCGAGGATAATTCCCAAATAGATATGCGCCACACAAATTTATAATTTTCCCTGGACGACTGTCTTTGCCCCCTTGGCAGCCCTGATGTCGATTATCAAGAACTGGGGAGCGATTGCGAAATGTGATCTGTTTTTGGTGCAGCCACTTCCACTAATGTGAATGCGCATTCCAATGTAACATTTTTCATGCGCATTTTATTGTTCATGAAACCTAAATATATCGTTGCTACTCAGATGTTTGGGAAACGAGGTGAGGCATTGTGTAAAAATAATTGAATTTGCATACGGGGTCACTTGCAACAAATGTGTGATCGCATTAGCAATTCACTAACAAAAGAGATTTTGGAACCTATTTATGTTACGAATAAGCCGTGCATTACAAACATGCTGTCCTAAAATTGCAGTGAACCAGTTTATTAATTTCGTCATTTGGCTTTTTGAAGCCGCTTTACCTTCCGTCGACAATGTAACCTATTCTTGTGACAATGCAGAAGAATGAAAGACAGAAGTATGCATCTACAACTTCCAATTTTGAATGGAGTAAACGTTCTAGAAGAGATCACATGGCCAAAAAATCAAGAACTCGTATAGTCTGCAACTTATTCGCACCTTTCGCTTTGTTTTAAACATTGAAAACATTTTCACTCATCCAGCTAACAATCATGGTAATCAAGAATGCACTAATTTCAATTCGTCTTTCCTTAGGTAACACTTTAAACTGGAAATCTGTTAATCCAAAAGGCATCGAAAGCTCTTCGTTATTTGGCTTTTGTTGTTACAGATTAATCGATCGCCAGCTAAGCGCTTTGCAGCCTGCCTCGAGTGTGACTGGGTGTACCTGGTTTTAGACGCATTAGCTGCATGTAAAATAAGTACTTGTGTAAACTAAAACAGGTATTTTGTATTCTGTACCAGTAAACAATCTTTTAGTCAGGACAGTTAAGTCAAATGAACAAGTACCACTAGATGTCTAAGTCTTGTGTTTTAATCCACTGTAATACATTAATGACGAAATAAGGTAATATCATCTGATAGAATTCATCTTATTTTCATGTATACTTGGTTCTAATCCTACATATATTATGTGGTTGCTTTACGCTTGTTTTTACTACCTTTCCACGGACCCGCATTATAATGGGAAAAGTCATGAAAAAATAGCCCTGCTATATGCCAGCAAATACCAGCCTGCCAAAAAATTGGAAGGGCAAAGCAGGGCGCCATAAGATAACCTTTGGAGGCCCATCGCGGGAAACACACAGAACCAACACACAACAATCTCCTTAGGCGTCTATCCCGTTACGCGTTTGTAGCTTCTAGTACACGCAAATGATCTTTAAATGATAATGCGTAGCAAGGGGCTCTAAATCAAAAACGCGTTTTTTTCGAACATTGCTTTGGTACTGTGATTAAGATGAGTCTGAGAAGATGAGTAAACGGATCAGTTTAAAAATTATTTCAGGACATTAAACAAGTCCAGAAACGGTCATTGTGGCACCTTAAAAACCTCGAAAACAGTAATGATGATTTTGCATGCCCAAACTTGAAATGTATTTCGTTGAATGGGATTTACTCCAAGTTACTTGAAGTTATCGTGAGGTCTAGGATCTGCTGCATCAGATTTATTCAAATAAAATCCGAAAAATGATCTTGTAAATGGCTTAAAAAGACAAACAGTAATCAAAAACATAGCTCAACTATCACGGTAATGTGAACTTCCTTGTAAATCAGGAAATCAAATAGTAGTAAAATTTCTCAATAAGGCTTGAAATTGGATTCGTGAACTCTGGACGGGATCGAGTTTCGAAAAATGAGCCCAAGTCAACTAACGCCATGCATTTTATTTAATTCAAAATACGGATCCCCTTCTATAGGATACAGCAATGCTAAAAGGATTAAACTGCCTTAACGCTTGCATATTTACATTATTCCTTGACAGCAAAGTTGATAAAAGAGTCTATTTTAAGTATGTCTTGATTCAAATCTATTGAAACGTTCAATCCTCCGGCACGTGTTTATATATTTTGACACTGAAATTTTATCCTAAGTTAATTTGAAGTGTTGCTGCCTCAGAAGCAAGTTATACAGGTAGTTGCTAAGTTAGACGAATACAGGAATAAGTAATTAGCCACCAAATTAAGAAAATGCGTGAGTGAACCCAGAATTAGCATTTCCGAATTTTGGATTCTAATTTTCCCTTAATACCGTGAATTTGTGGTTGGTCTTCCTTGGTCTTTTACTCGCGTCTCGTATATTTTATATTAATAATTGCTCCATATTACGTATTTTGTTGTTGTGTTGCGTGCTTTCAAATTAAAATCAAATTCTTAAAACATGTTTTGTTTTATTGTGAAAGTGAATTACCATGGGATTTAGCACAATTCGAGGAGTACCTCAACGTAAACCAGGAGGTTGGCATTAACACACATGAAATAAACCTTACATTGAACTAAAATGTTCATGCCAAAATGACATCGTGCAGTACAACCTAGAAACTTCATGGCGCATCGATGACTTCTCATGACTGTGGTCTTTAACCAGCGTGATTACGCAATTGCACTCTGCGACCCATGTCAGATGCATGTTTAACTGACTGACTATGAAAAAGCGATGCCCGAACAATGTCCCCTTTCCCCTGAATTCATTTGTTACCTGCTTCTCCTTGTTTAACGAGCTCAGGTGGCCCCAAAAACCGCGAGGTAATGATTGGTCTTTCGTCATTCTCGTCAATTATTGGGATAACGACTAGAGCGGTTCCTGTTTTCTCATATGGTGGAGGTGCCGAGTCAGTAGCTTTTACAAAAAACGCGAATTGTTTATTCTTCGAAGGTGGAGCCTCTCGAGCAGCAGTCCCGGAGCTAACCATGTGAGATGGTTCCAACGTTTCGTAATCCAGCCAGTGCCTCAATAGGATCCGGCCATCAGGGTGCACAGAAAATATTTCTTCTATTAGCCGATTTGAACTAGGTACCATGGAGTATGTGAGACGTGAGTTACGTTCAGAGGCATCCCCATCAATAGCAGTCACGTTGAGGATAACCTTCCCTGGGTGCGTCCGCTCTGAAATTCCATGACCACCTGGAGGACTAAAGATTTGCTGGGTAAAAACCGGAGCTTCGTCGTTAACGTCAATCACGTTGATTCGAAGATGGGCGGTTCCCACTTTCGGCGGTGTACCGGCGTCAGACGCAATCAGAAGAAGGTCATAGACGCTCTGCTTTTCATAGTCAATGGGTTGGAAGGGAGTGAGTTGAAGCATGCCACCAACTGGTCCACTAATGGTAAATGGAGCCGGACCACTTTCATGCCTCTCAAGGTCTCCATTTGAAGGGTCTCTATATTTTTCCAATCTATACGAAATCTCACCATTTGGCCCTGAATCAGGATCATACGCAGCAGGTATAAGAACCTTATTTACTGGTCCCTGTTCGAGGATGCTCGTTTCCAGGATGGGGGTTCCATCTTGTTTTTTCCTCTCTGTATTCCACGATGGCTCGTTATCATTGACATCTTGGATTACAAGTTTAAGGGGGATGGTCTGAACGGAGACTTTTTGTCTATCATCAAGTCTCACGGTGGCCAAAATATTAATTTGCTTAACACAAGTGACATCTGGATCGAGATAGTTTAAAGAGATGGCAGATGACTGGGGACAGAGAGCTTCCCTGTCTACCCGACCATCAATAAAGAGACGGCCAGTCTGAGGTTCGATCTTAAGCAGACGAGTGAGCATTTCATGAGAATCGAGGAGTTGATAGGTAGCCTGTAACCTTGCTTCAACAAAACTTTGGAGGTAGTTGGAAATACCGTCAATTTCAGTTCCATTTGGAGATTCCTCAACTATGCGAAACACTTTCGAGTGAGGGTGATTAAGGGCATCTGGGGTCAAAGTATTCAAAAGAATGTTCAAAGTCAGAATAACGATTGCCAATTTTGTTTCCATCTACAAAAAATAAAAAAGCGTTAAATCAAATGGCCGTCATGGAAGTTTAAGACGCCGACGGCCTAAATGCCACCGCACTTATGCTAAAGAACCCAAATTACTCAGAGACTATTTTAAATGTTACCAGCAGGTTTTGTAAATAAGTATTAGCAAAAATCATTTAAAGAAGCCTGAATCCGCAATTTGTAAACTCACATCGCCAACAAAATTTCATTTAAATACAGCTTCGACATGTCCATAACACCAGGTATTTGTGAGATGTTCATTCAGTCACCAACATAACGAGATATTTTTTTCAAGTTTCTCATTCTAGAAACTAAAAGTCGAGCATAACAATCGGTTTGTAGGACGGGACAGATTATTGCTAGAACACAGAACATGATAATTCTGGCATTCCCTTTCATTCAAACCTACACTAATGTTCCGAACGGAGTCATCCTCTAGGTGTCTACTGAAGGTCAGGTAAAATATTTACACATTTACACACGCAGCATTTCATTACACAACCATTAGACGCAAACCATTATTTCCAAAAACTCTGAAACACGCTTGTACTTTTTTAATAATTACAGTGTGTTTGCTTCTAGGTAACCCCCTTTAATTACGTAGGTGGTCACGCAACAGTATCATCGACCCTTGATAGTCAAACACCATGGCTTCCTACACACAGTCCTACTTTTGGAAATGCCACTCTGCTACTCTCACACATTATTCATTCACAAGTTTGCTTAACGTGCTAGGACAGCTGACTTCTTAACTAACATTAGTCTGTCGAAATTGTACCCGATCCTGATCAGATTCCTAGCGGGTAGCCCGTTTGGATCGTAAGTGTAGGTTTGAATGAAAGAGAATGCCAGAATTATGGTGTACTGTGTTCTAGCAATAATCGCATCTCCGTTTTGAAGCAAAGGTGACTCGAGTATTGACCGAGGTCTTCTACTCTCGAACCCCGGCCCGTGGTAAAGGTTCGTTAAACCGTCGGATTTCACAAGTACCGTTACATGGTTTTCTTTGATAACAACTAAACACCGATCATTTTACTGAAGAGGAAGTAAGAAAAGGTAACAAAACAAATATTTGCGCAGCCAAGTGTCTAAAGCAAACGGGATAAAAAAATTTATTTCGGAGAAATCGGCAACCGCGAATGCCCATAATTTGTGCATATAGTTTCCTACCCAACACAAAAATCTGGTAAATTTTTTTCTCTATATTCGCATGAAGTATGAACAGGAAGTGTGCTGAACAAGTGGCTGTTAACTGCTTATGAATAGCACTGACTATTCTTGTTGACGTTCTACCCTCCAATTCTAATACCTTTAATTGGCTTCTGGGAAGTGCATTTATCTGAACGCGTACAATATTGCATGAAGAAGTGGTAGGTATATTCGGATCGGTTGCACCTTAATGACGGTATGGTAGCGTAAAATGCCTCCATGCCACCATTTTATGCTTCCACCTAGGTTTAACATGTACCTGTCATGTAAATCTTTAAATACCGCAAGAAAAGGCCCTAATTGTCAATCTAATTAGAATTATGCCATATCATGAGTAACTCAATCCTCACGATTTGTTTGTATTCATGTAATTTACTAAAGTGTTTTATTTTAGTTCTACCATAACAAAGTTATCCATGCTTTGTGTTTCCTGTTAGTGGTCGCGAGTCAGGGTAACAATTTTCCCCTTAAGGTTCAAGAAAAAATTGAAATGAATGAAAATAGGAAATGAATTTGCTGTTGACAAGTAACTGCTGTCAGAATCCTACTGGAACGTATCTGGATAAGTCAATAATTACTTTAATGAACAAGAAGTGTCATTTACATCATGCAGTCATTTGCATCGCTGACGGCAGAAATGCCACCTATTTTCATCGATTTTGACAGTGGCAAAATTTCCGTCACAAAATGAGCCATCTACCAGGGATTGTTAAGTATAAGGAGGTCAGCAAGCATAAACAGCATGAATGGAACAAAATTTACTCTTTCTCTGCCTCCGCCTAGTTATAAACAACTATCGTCAACATTTGCGAAGCATGAACCTGGTAAGCTCAGAAACCAGTTTGAAGACATCAAAGATTCGTGAAACGTGCATTGTCAGTTCAGCTATGATTTTACAGTTTGTAAGGATACGTCACATTTCCAGATGCCTTTGTAGACACGAGCATGTATTGAGTGAACTATTTGAAATTCGCATCATTTTTTTGTATTTGTCTCTACCTTTGGGCAGACGCTGTGGCATGTTTTTTGGAAGTCACTTCTAGAACGACATCAGGTACCTGAACATGGGGTGCGGTCAGTTTATTAAACTAAAATCATTTGCAACACGCCATGAATTTTATGCTTTGTTTAATTAATGTTTGGTTCTCTCTGTTTTTCTTATATTTTATCAATTGTTGGTATCTTTCTCTAATCCACTACTTGGAGCGAATTTGAGCTAAGCGTTGTAAAGGAATCCACTGTTTAATCTAAAATTAGTTCCTATAAATTTAAAACGCACACCTATAAAACAGTCAAGGAATTTAATTTGATGATATAAATGCAATTTCGAACTATGTGCTTATTAATGATTGCCGTTACTTACCAAGTGCGTTTTTCAGCTTTCTATCTATAAGATTGTAGTTCCAAAAGGATGAAATTTTGAAAATTTAAGTAATGTCGATAGCTTTTCGGATTTCGCAACGCTTCCATAAATAAATCTTGCTTTATAAAATCTTTGCAATGAAACATTTAATGTTTTGTGCATGAATCCAGAAAACAGCATCAAGGAGAGATTGGTGAGATATTTACCCACTAAGTTTACGAATGTCAATGTTTGTGTGGGTGTGCAATACACAATGCAACATACTCACCTCCGATTATTTAAAAAAAATATTCCGTGTTGCGTTATTCACTCGGGTGTCGGGTGCCATTGGCTTCCCTTAACTGAAGAAGGGGTCAATTAAACTTTCAACATGTGTACAGATGTTCACCTCGTTTGTGCCAAGCTTGCACACACGAACGTACACAAGCGCACGCACAACAACCGCAATAACCAATCACTGTGCCGCGAATGTACACCTGTGCCGGCCGTGTGGTCAGCCAATCATCACAGCATCAATCCGTCAGCGATTCGCGCTAATAGAACGCAAGCACCCGCGTGTGCAACCAGGTTGTCGGTTGTAATGTCGATGATGATGCCACCGAAGTCGCCCCAACATCGTGAAATGTACCAGAGCAAAAACATTATGAAAAACTTCCTCCTGGGATAACTGGCATTTCATGGGGTGTCAAAGGTTCCATGAGGTCTTCACGGAACGAGGGAACAAATGCTGTACGAAATTGATAAAAAAACCTCAAATATTGCAGTTGCAAGCACCTGGCTTCTTTTACTTCACAATGTCTGCTCTCCTGGTTATGAGAAAGATCTTACCAGTCTGAACCGCAGCATGAGCGAAGTAAAGTAGGAAGATAAAGGGTTAAGGTTTGTGCTTCACCATCACAGCATGGCTCAAAGGAACGCTAAGACGCTCAAAAAGGGTTTTACTATCTACCATGGAATTTTGAAGCAGCAAAAGTGTGCCGCCCATGTTACGAAAGATTGTGATTGACATTTCGAAGTTCCCCGACAGTTTCACTTGCCAAACATCCCGCATATTCCAGGCTCCCCATTGTCTTTAACCGCGAGCGGAACCTTATTCCAGCTTAGATGCACTACAGAGAAATGCTCTGCGATAGAACTCCAAATTTTTTTGTGCTTTCATAATATAGACATCATCAAGTACACATTCTTTATAGTAATTGAATCTTCTTGGCAATATTTAAATTGATAAGTAGCTCTTTTACAAACCAGTTGGTATAGTCTTAAATGTAGATGTTTGTTACTCTAGTACATTTTTGTCATACAAGCAAATTTATTAAAATCGTTAACTTTAATCACACAATTGTTAGAGAGGAACGTTCACGGGGCAGCGAAAGCATCGAAGGCAACAACATGGCCATGCCGACCACGTAAATGTCAGTGCACTAAACTAAACAAAATTACCCCTGAGTTTGCGCATCCGATTCAAGCGTGGTTTTCACGTTTAGCGAAATATGCCAAATTAGGCTGGTTTGGAAAGGCGGAGGTGGTGGGGGTTGCGGCGATGATGACAACGGCCACGGCAGTGATGGCGTCCGAATTGCCCGCTTGTCTGTTTTCGAAACGGGACAGGTAAGTGTTTCAAACCCCGCTCCTAGGCTGCTGGTTGTGCTGATCACCAGACATGCAGTTCAGCATGAGTGGAGCAAAACCACCCTTTGCAAGGACTCTGAGTCTAAAATTACGACCACTGTTCAAAGTTTCACACATTTAGTTCGGCTTTGATTTCCTAATTAATAGAATGCTAGAAAAAAGCACAGCAAGAAGAACACGGGAATAAGTGTATAATTCCAATTGTTGTTTCTCAGAATACTGATCAATGACAAAAGTTAAGAACAATGAATTTAAGGAATCCTGGAATTTTATTAAACAAATTTGCTATCTCAAAATATTGACATTTGACTGCATCCAAAATTCCTTCTTTGTGTAAGGTCATAACCATTGGACATTGACCAATTCGATAATCCTCAGCCAAAATTCTAAGTCAACTGAGGATTCCGACTAAATAATTCCGAGGAAAACATGTGCATTTTTCGCATAAGGCAGAAAACCTCACTTTGTAATTATTATAGATATATTCAAATTATGAGGGCAAATGCGGAAAAATTAGCGAACTATGCTTCGGTTACCTCAAGTATACAATAATGTAAGCGTTAATTTTCAGTGTTCCTATACCAGACTAATTTTGCCCCACAACTCAGTACCTCTCCATGATATTTAGGATATCTACCAGTTCCGTTGCGCTTTCTCGCATTTCAAGATGATAAATCCAATTAGATGTGGATTTAGGGAACATTTAGGGAGGCAGTAAGTTTCAGCTAGTGACGCTGCACCTAAAGTTTATGTGTTTGATTAAGTAATTCTTGAAAACTTTTAAGCACATACCATTTGGATTCTGGGAACGTTGTGTGGCATGTCGCGTGTACATGAATACAGCAAACCATCTTAAGACGGCGCTGTAAATGAGACGAATAAACGTCTCTTTTCGGGTGCTGCTTACGGAATTTAGTTAAATGAAACACAAGGAGTCAACAAATAATAACTCCATCATGATTTGCAAAGTGTCGCTTCCCACTAGAAAATGGACGTCGACAGAAGACCACTGTGCAAAACAGTTTCGTTAAGATTTCGGGACATGCTCCCCCACTTTCATACCAGTCAAGTTTAACCCGATTTCGATGCCGCATGCTTACCAAATACTCATGTATGCGCGAATTCACTCATGCCCTTCTTCACCAAGCCTTAGAGTTTACAAAGCAGACTGTAGCTACAACATGCTCATATAATGTTGAAGACGGCATTCAAATTTCCATGGAAGCTCATCACTACTGACCAATTAAAACTTCGTTCAACAAGTATAGCTGTGGAACGGGCAAAACCCACTTAGCTTATTAAGTAAACCGATCCTACAAAAAATGATTTCGTTTAATCGTACACAGTGAACAACCTTAGCTACCAATAGAGCTTGTAAATTCTGACTTCCAAATTTTAAAAAAATATTCTATCCCGCTTTTTTAAGTAGAATGATATTCACAAATATTTATTGCATAATTTACGGGCGGATGGCACAGTCCGAGTTAAAATAAATGTAAAAGTTCAATTTTGTGTGTGACGTTGTGGTAAAACATCCCTAGAGTGACTAATTTTGCAAACGTTTAGTTCATAATCTCCGATTTGATTAAACTGTTAAGCAAAAATGAGTTGAAACTTTTGAATTAGATGGGAAAGGTCATACCTACTCTGAAAAAGGAATCAGCAATTTTGTTTATTTTTCTGGTTTAACCAAGACCCTTGCTAAGAAAAGTAGACATAATGTTGCAATGATCATAATGTAATGCAGGAAAAGTGCTTTGCACTGAAAATTGTACAGACATGCATCAAGGAATCCGTCGCTATGTACACATTTCGACAGTCAGCATCACAAGTCCCCATACTCCAGGAAAACTACCGGCTTAGCAAGACAGTCAGACGTTGCTGTGATGCTGACCGATGGTGCAGCTGTCGTGAGGTTATCCGAGGACGCTTCTGGAGTTCTTCCTGGTCTGGGGCTCAAAGTGCCGCTGCGAGATCGAGAAGACGAGGAAACTGGATTATTGTAAGTTGCTTCACTGAATGAGCCTTTACTTCGACCAATCAAACCACCCAGTAAAGGCGTTTGTGAGTTCTCATTAGTCGAAGACACCCGGCGCTTGCGTGCAAAAGCAGAACTGTAATAAAAAGCGAGAAACTGCAGTCTACTTACAAACGGGTTAGTAACTGGCCCATATATATCTCTTTAACTACGAGTTTTTTTGGCTAGAGATAAAAGTCTACGAAATGGGTCACACGTAAACAAGGTTGACCTATCGAAAAAGATCAGAAGCCTGTAATTATTACCAAATAACATGTCGCTTCATAGATGATGCATTTGGACAATTACTTCACAATTACTTCAGCTCATTGTTGCAGACTAAGATTTAAATAACAAAATAGCTCACAACTGTCATCTCTGCCAATCGGTTTGCGGGTGTGGTCATCACCTAAAATTCCAATCACAGATAGGGCGCACCCTCCAAAAGGCCAGCTTTGGTAACGAGGAGGTGAGGTACAGTTCTATCTCAGTTTTTTGTGCAGCCCTATCGCCACTTGTTTCACAGATTGAAAAAGAAAACGAAGTGATTTAGCAAACCAGAAATTCCTAGGTCTTGGAAGACCAAATGAGCTATTTTGTCCGTTGCCACAGAAAAGCGGCAAATGTACACCCAACGCTAAACTATGACCGCTAACCTACCGTGCTTTGACGGTTCCACAAAACGTCAAGCAAACCTCAGAATCGGGTCATTTACCGTGGACTGTCGGTGGGTCGTGAGCCCAACGTTGTCGGTCGACTTCGCTCGGCCACGCACCCCTGGGAACCGATGCCGGCCACTGTGGCTCTCCCGGTCGGTGGCACGATGGAACTGGACGAGCGCACGTCGACGCCTGAAAGACAAAAATGTGCGTCCCAGTCTTGGACATTCACGAAGCTTCTACACAGGAGGGTGATTAAGACGCTTAAACTTTACGGACATTAAGTCAGCAAAGTAGTCAGTAGCGTGCATGCACCTGACTTAATTTCAAGATCTGAGTGCACGCAATTTATTTGCAGTTGTTCAATGGGATGCAAATAATTTGCTGAAACATATTTACTTACAATCATCCTCGCATCTATCTGTAACGGGGAAGTGTGGTGAGGATTTGAAAAGGGGCGACGTAGATGACCTATCTGAAGTGAGATAAAGAACCATGAACTTCCACCGATGTTGCGTGCGTACATTTCAACTGAAACAATTAATTTTACCTGCGCATTTAGCAGTGCTTAGGACATTATGTGTATCTCGAACTTGATATTCCGAAAGATATCGTCTTGGCATTGGTGTGGAATTCCCGGATGGATAGCCCCATGTGAGTTTAGAGTCCGACAGGGTATTCGTATTGGAGTACTTAAAAGAAGTAAGCGCAGAAATTACAACACCGCTACTTATGTGTGCTAGTAGCAAACAAAAAAACTAACAACCTTTAGACCCCAATGCCTTTTTTCCAGGCAGTCTGAAGAGTTCTGAAAATCATGGGAGTATCCATTCCCATCTTTATCTTTTTCCACTTGTAAACACAGCGGCAATTGACTAATACCTAAAATGTAATGAAATGTAGGTTGGAAGTCAAAAAGCCAACCGACATCGTAAAAAACGCTGTGGCGCGTAACAGCTACTCATTCCTCTTGAATCAAAATCAAAAAACTAAATAAAAAATGCGGTGAAATTGCACCTCACCTCAGACAATAAAAAAAATCACCCAATGAAATTTTGGACGCCTGGAAACTTGTCGCCGTTTGCATTGCGAGGAGGCCACTGATCATGAATTATTCATCCAATTATAGATTTGCCGTTTATTTCTGTGATTATTTTCTACATTCACAGTTTACTTGGTTACGGACTCGAAAGCACAAATAACCCAATTTAAATGGCTTTTTGGTTTACTTGCCACACTAGACAATTGCTGAAAGGACCCCACAAATGCTTCCCAAGTAGCTGGTAATAAAACTTCGTGCTTAGTAGGTGCCCACATAGAACCAGCATGTTCTAAATACTTAACTGTTCGAGGTGTAGAGGGCAGAAATAAATTTATTACGGCTATGAACTAGTTCAAGCCTACAGGTTCACCGTAGTAGTCTACCAGTAGGAGCTCCAAGCACCTATTTAATGTGTATCGGACAGCCGACTCTAATATTAGAAAAGAGATTATTTTCACAGTTATGCCAAATAGAAAACGTCATCAATCGCGTCACCGACAGAACTCTGACTTTCAAAATCAATTTTTCCAGTAGCAACAAAAGAAGGGATACAGAGACCAGCGGTATGGCATCCATAGTGGGATTTGGATTGACTAATTGTTTCCAAGCCTACTTATATCACATTTATATCTCTCTCGCATCAATTATGCTCTCGCAACGACAAATGGCAAAATACCAATGAAAAATTAAGTGTTTTAAGCCATAATCGGTTTAGTCAATAAGTATTTTCAGTAGGATCCAAACAGAAGAGCATTTAAACTTTAATACGGATTTACTTCTAAGCAAAATGTTTTAATGCAACTTTGACGCTTACCAGATCCGTTTGTATCTGTTAGTGACAGACGACTATCATCAAGTGTGTAGACACCTTTATGCTGAAACCCGAATGAAAATATGGTTAAGGTGGTAAATGCGTGTGCTGAAACTACCGTGCATGTTTGGCAGAGGTCTGCATGCTCTAACGATACCTGACCGCGGAATCCCACTTGGCGCCGTATGCAAGTCTGGATAAAGACATTCGACTACGCGTCGAGAAAAATTAATTGTCATTAGAAAGCCAGTCTGACAGACACATACACATACACGGCCGATACAGTACCGTTCCCCACATTTATAGTTTTTTAGCGAAAAATGCGAATATTGGAGTTAAACATAATGGGAATACAAAATCACCTTCATGAGAGCCTCGCGAGCCTTCTGCAGAATTCTCAGACCGGGTTTGACCCTATGGAAACAAAACGTAGGGCGCCAATGCGCTGCGAGCAATCATTAAAGGTAGTTTTAAAAACCACGGCAAAATCATGCCACTGCAAGATTTCCAAAATAGTCAATTGTATTACCGGTCATGGTTTATATTTCATTCAAAAGCGTTTAAATTAACTCGAAAGAGAAACGACACCCCTGACGGGCGGTGTGCACATAATTTAAATGCGTTGCAAGTTGACCTCAGCCGAGGTTTTGGTTTTAAACTGAATGCGAAAACTCGACAAGACCTATAATTTTCGGTAAATCGATATGTGCGGAATTAGCTAACTACGGACATCACCGGGGTTCAATAACCTGATGCTTCGATACTTGTACCATGAGGTAAAGGCTGCTGGTTTTGGGTAACGTCAAATGTCAAATTTATTTTGTATTTTAATTGCCAAATTTTTACGTCAATTTCAAAATTGTGTCGCTTGAATCCATGTGTATTTAAACAAAAAAGCACACTTTTCCAACTCGGTCACTGACGCCAGTTAGAACCGAATTCCCACCTAAAAATTGCTCGGTTCAAAACAGGGCCAATATCGTCGGTGCACGAAAGATGTCACATGAAATAAAGATTCTTGAAATTTTGCAGATGAAACATAAGACTGCGTTTCAGCCATTATTGCATTACCAAATTATGTCTGACTGGTGAATTGATTTCAGCTAGTATAATAATAATAATTAACTTTTAGTACTTAATCGTATATTCGCGCCTTGCTTAGCCAATACGTACTAAGCGTCACAAGCAATGTAGCCAATTCAACAAGCCAACGCGGGTGGTGCTGTTACCGGGGTGACACCGTGACCGACGTGAGAGCAGCCGGGTACAGAAAATATGGGGCCTGAACCGCGTCACGCAGACGCTTAGGCTGCATCTCCCTCGCTCTAGACACCTCACCGAAATGCGATTTTGCAACTATAAGAACTCAACCACGCATAACATTCGGACTATCTGGATTAAAAGCATTGCGCATAGAAGATCGTGGTGAAACTAGTTTGTGTACTACGCAACACCGTGTCGGGAAAGTATAGATAGAGGATAAAAGATGTGAAAAATAGAAACATATTACAAGTACTGATTAAAATAAGACATCACAGGTTACAGTACAATATTTTTGCTTACCATGGTTATATTTAGGTGTTAAATATAAGATGAAAGTTTGCTAAACTTTAAAAACTAAGTTGGCCTCACAAAAACTGGTGGCTAACGCTTAGTTTTATGGGCTGGGTCAGCAGGGGAGTTTATACACAAACACCGACATGGTCATTTTAATTGAGCCAAGCCGCCCGTGAATGCGTGTGCGCGACCTACAATACACTGGATTACCACCGGGGAAAATCATATTCAACCTGGCTCCGCACTTTTTGGGTGATGGCAGCCTTCCGCACTGCCCGACAATTCTCTCTTCCAACCGCTCCTTGTGGCGTTTCAACACTGCCAACTCGTCACTGAAAGCAGACAAAAAGGTCTGGAATTCAGTTCAGAAGCAACTTTTGCACAATGTATGCTTACTCATCATTACTTGTTAGACTACCTATCACATTCGCAAACAGAATACACGTTAGGTTTTTGAAAACACCTATGTTAATGGTTAACGTAAATCACTGTTAATTTAATTACTTCCAATCTGCTTTGCATTCACAAAACTTGTGTTCTGACTTATAATATGGAAATTAGTGACTCCAAATGTCAAACTAGTAAACAAGTGATCAGCCCAAACTTTTAATGTTAATTCTTTTAGTAGAGATAAAGCTTTTGTATTTGCTAGGCAAGAACTCTGAAATAAATGACTGAAAAATAGCAAGCTGCTATATTTTTTTCTAATCCAATGAATAAATCTAATCGAAAACAAGTTCAATGGTCAATGAAGTTAATTTTTAAATCGTTAATGTAGAGTGAAGAAATAGATATGATATTCGTTGCAGCCACCGTTTGGCTTGTGCAATTTGGCAAAAAAAAGTCTGACTCATTCAAACTGTCGTCAAGTTAGTTGGTATTGAAGAATATGCGATCAATGCATCGAAGCTCAAAATTTACAAAATGTCAAAAAACACAGTTTCAATAAGTAGACTGTAAAGTAGTGATATTAAAGGCACAACTTTTACGCTACTTTTGTGATTCCTTTCAAATCAAAAATTGAAACCTCGAACTCTAAAGTACCAAAAGAACAGTTCATTTGCCGTTATAATACAACACCAAATTCCAAGGGTTACACAATAACTTTAGCTCAGGTCGTACTTTGACCTAACAAACATTTTTTTCATAAATAAACGACTAGAAGCACTTTTTTAAATTCATGCTTTTGATAGTTTAAAGAGATGAATAATTATCAAAGGTCGATGTCAGTGCAAAAAGGCACTTTATTTCTGATTTACTTTAAAAAATCTTTTCATGCTGTAGAGTTCTCATTTGAACAGCGAACATTTAACAAATAGCAAAATAATCTTACTGGAGAGCCAATTTTTCCCGATAGTGGCACTCACTGCTTTCGAGAGCCTCCATGAAGACGTCCTGGTTTTGGGAGAGGAGAGACCTAAGTTGGAGAAGCACAGCTCGGTTCTCCTTCTCCAAGTACGCATTTCGTTTTTCGTACACCTGCAACGCACATCACAATTCGAAATTCCGATAAACTTCTAATGGAAAAAAGGCTTTTCTGATGCGTCAAAGTAAACTGATGCGCTGGCTACACTATGCAAATGGGGACAAAAATTTACATAAGCAATGGACGAGTACTGAGTTTTCGTGTGATCAAATTATGCTATGTATCACTTACAAAAGATGAGGCCATATTTTTTTAGTGACAAAAGATACACGGAAATGACTGTCCACGCGCATTTCGAAGGAGATCGTCGATGAAGTAGCCTACTGAGTATGTACCTCTGCTGAACTACACTTACAAACACACACACACACATACGCAGCAGTTGACACACACAGCACGGTTTGTTAAATAGATAAAATGATAAAAATAGAGTGCCCGTATTTTCTTTTGATAAAATTTTGCATGTTGTATCCCGTTAGTTTGCAGTAATGGACAAAATACTACGTGATATGTCGAAAACAACCATACGTGACGGACTAAGCATTTAATCATTATGGCGGACGTGTTAGTTAATATGTCGTTGTTAAAGTCTTAGTATTTACAGATCGCTACTCAACGTAATAAAGGGAAACATACCAAGCAAATGAGAAGTCCCATACAGTGAATCAAGTCAGTGGGGTGGACGTAAAAACTTATCTTAGCAATGGCATAGGGGCATGTTAATTTTAAGGAAACCCTTAGGTTCAAATAACTACACGAAAATCTCAAGTCTGGTAGATAATAAACGCTTCCTCAATGAGTGACACATGCTCAATGTAGTTTCAAATTAGAGGCTAGATTCTTGGGAGTAAGGGATTATTTTTACATGAATTTCTACAAAAACATAAACGGTTTTTTGGTTAAAAATATTGGGCAAGAAAGTTGATGATATTCAAATACTGCAAATAGACCCGCAAAACGGATCGTAGCCTCACATAATTGACCACGGGCTCATGGTTTTTGGGGGTCAATTGGTTTTAATCTGCACACTATTCAGCATTGTTGAATTCGGTGCTTAGCTCTAACACAGAACCCTATATGAATTGGCACAAATTAACTAAATGAATGATGGCCCGTGAAAGTGTTTATGATGAACACTGAGCGAAGTATAAATTTGCTGCATTAAAACTATTTTCGAAGCATTATTAACTGAGCTTTGCCTGCAAACAGCAAGTAACTTGTATCCGGTCCTCAGCAGAATTTGCTACGAGGACTCAATAGAGGGGTGAAAGCAAGGGTTACTGAGTCGGACAGGTGACTCATTTCCAAGACCAAGCCGCGCGCGCGCGAGGATACGCCCACTTACGCAACATGGACGCTTGCTAGGTGTGGCAAGCGCATTTGATGAGTCATTCAAGCATCGTGCGAATTGGTAACTGGAAGTAGGGCAGTCTACCTGCAAGGGTGAAATGCACCTCCTGGTGAGTGCACTGTGCGGTGAAAACAGGTACTCCTCACAATCACTGAGCCCCAGTGGATTCTCTTTAACAGCCCAATAGCTTAACGCTAGATTGCTCAAAATTACTAATGTGAATCTGATTAAGCCCTTAATACATACACATACTGGCCTAATCAAGAAGGATTTTGCCGGTGTGCCAGAGCTCGGATCTCCCGATTTTAATTCAACCACTTAAAAGAACTGGACGAATCTGACACGCCATTGCGATGGATACGCCCATCATTTCGCCGCCGTGACATGGAAACGGCCGAATAACCACGTTTCCAACAGTTGACATATCATTTAAATTCTTGAATTAGGGAGGGATTTCGCTCTACAGCATGAAAATTTTAAACGACTGACCTCGATTAACTATGAAATTTTAGGTTATATCATATTTACTTCGAGAAAGGCCTTGCAATGGTCCAGTTCATGTTTGATTGCCTCCGCTCGATCCTTGGTCTCATTGTTCTCTTGACAAACCGTTGCGAGGAGCTTTTTCGCCTCAGTAGCCTGAAGCAAGGCCTCGTGCGCTGCCTCCTTGACGCTAACTTGACTCGAGTCAACGATGGGCGTTGTGTTAACTCCTTTGTGACTGAAGACCTTTGGTCGGGCATCGCGAACTCCATTACATATTGAAACTAAAAGGGAATATATAAAGTGAGTGAAGAAACCAATACTCACTTCGATCCTTTGTAAGCTACAGCTGAACAGAATGAATGAGCCGATCGCCTTCACATAGAAGATTGCAATTCCTGGCTTTTGCATCTGTGAATACGTTTTCCACAGTTAGTTCAAATTTCCATTTTTGATAATCCCTGTAATCGTGTAAAGGTTTGGCGACACCAGTGGCGGGAGTAAAGAATTATTTTAGCTGACGAAAAAAACAACAAATATGACCGCCCTACTTGACACGGATTGATCAAGCACGTATTTATTTGCCAAGAACCCCTGCAATCATCAGAAGAGACAGTTCATAACATGTTTTATTCCAAAAGACATGAATAATGCAAATCCAGTTGGTCCTAATGGAAGTGTAGACCTGCCATTGAGCATTATAGCACAAATTCACACAATTATTTTTCCTTTTTAAGGTTGGTAAAACCGGAGCGCAGCCTCTCACCAAGTGATCGCAGTCAATTTTTCAACGTATCCTGCAACTTGAGTTCATCGACAAGGGCCAATGACAAAAATAGAGGTTGGAGGACCGAAGTCTATTTTAATTGCGCATTCTCAGATTAAGTATTTTAACGAAATCCGAACTTGGTCATTAAAATGTATGAAAATCCTCGCTTTTATCAGGTCAGCACATTAAGGTATAACTCCATGAGTACTAAAGGCCGCACAGAGAGCCTTGGTGCTAGTTGCAGTAGCGACTGCATCATTGATGCCCATGCTGCTAGGTGTTATTCGACACCGCAGAGAGTTAAAAGCACTTGAACACCCACAGAAGAAAACCTCGAATTCCGAGCTCACATGCTTGCCGAAAGGCAATTTTAAAATCGAGCATCACTGATGCCTAATTCGCGTGTTGATAGTGTTCATACGTGCAACAACTGCTGCACCAGATCCGGATGCAAGTACCCAGTTTTTGAATGCTAATATTTGACTACCTCCAGCTAACCGGTTATCAAGCTGCGCGTTTCAAATTTAGAGGAAAACGCACAGTATTGTTAACTAACAAGAATTTATATTTTTCTCAAGGATTGCGCTCGCAGTGATTTTCTTAACTACTTTACCTGACCTCTGTATTCGGTTCGGTTGAACAATACCTAGTTGCAGCGGGGTTCCGAACTGATTGCAAATTCTATAAGATCGTTGAACTTCACCAGAAGTTGTAACTGTATGGAGTTCTGGTGATGTTTGGCAGTGTGTCTCTCTCCGAGGCTAAAATACACAAAGCTTATTAGACAAAATATTGGCAGAAGGTGGATTGCCTCTAAAGGTCATCGAAGTAATTTACCAGTGACTACATTTACAGCAAACCTTTGTCAGTCAGACTGGGGCTAACATTCAGCGTGGACCAGGTGAGATGCTGGTCATTTGTCACCACCCAAAGAAAAACGAAAGCGCTATAATTAGGGAGGAATTTGCAGAAATCAGGGGTCAAGAGACCTCTGCATCCCTTTGCCGCTTAGGCTTAACCTAGGATAGCCTTGCTATATGCACGGAGACTAATTTAAATCAATGTTTAAAGATTAGCAAAACTTGATAAGGGTTCTGTAGGAGTTAGGTCAACATTTTTCTAGTCAGATATAGTGAATCACACAAACTTCACTGTTATCGAAATCAACTAGCAATCATATTGCGATCCCGGAAGGTATGTTGCACCCTAAAATAGTGAGGTATTGTATAATTAGTTACAGACGTCCCCAAACATTATATTTGCATCTTAAGCGAGGATTAGTAATAATGAGAGGTTTATACTTAAATCTTTCAATAAACGACCTAACACAAAATACCAATGACAAGGTTTCATGGGTCATTGTGGTCAGGCGTACCACTGGCCGTCTGTTCAAGTCTTTGGCCGAGTTAACATTTCCTCGAAGTTCACAGAGCATTGCGTCGGTCAGAATGTCACGCAGCGAGTCGACACTGTCCTGAAAGGTCGACTGCGCCGATTGCATTATTTTCTTTAGAAATGCGGATGACTGTGAAAATGTCTTTTCGTCCATTTGATATTGAAGGGGATCAGTTTGAGTAGCAGTCTGTGATGTTGTCGGATTTGAAAAACTGAACGAAAAAAATATTAGTGGAAATTACCCATGAGCCATATTATCAAAAAGGCGTCTGCTTTTTTCGCATTCGAAAATGGGAAAAGCCAATCAAATCAAATTTCAAACAGCTATAGAGAAGTGATGTACTACAGCATCGCGAAGCCAAACAGAGCTTCCATTTGATAAGATACTTACTTCGAATTCATGCTTCCTATTCAAAATGCATCATTTGTCTACCGATATTCCTAACTATGCTCTTCTTGGCTTTAACATCTCTTAACCGGATGCATGCTAAATAAACCAGCTTCCTCCGGCTGGACACCACAGTACAACGCAAATGAATTGGAAATTATTTAAAAGAGACCAACGTGTCAACATCCACCGCAATTGTCTTAGCGTAAATCAAGTTTTTTGACTGCATAGTACTTAAAATTATTTCAACACAATTTTAATTTAATATTTGGGACTAATTGCGCCACCCGTTTTGTCGAATGAACTACTACACTGAGAAAGTATTGTAGAAAAGGCATAAGTTAAAATTGGGCAATCAAAAACTTTATTTACTTTGCCTTAGCCAAAGCAGCGACTTTCAAGTCGTTTTCTTTCACTGCACCAATAACATCGCGAATCACCTGTTCGAGGTCCTCCATAAAGGCGTCGACACGTTCCCCGATGCTGGAATTTGCAGCGTCAGATAATCTGCCTGAGTTCGGCGATGAGAGGTCTGAGCTTGTTTTCCCACGACTGGCATCCAGCTTTGCTCGAATTCCTCGCAAGTGAGAGGCGCACCGTGCAACAGCAATTTCCAACTCCTTAAAACAGGGACTGTGAATTTAGAGGATAATCACGATATTTAGGAGTCGTGTAACTTCAGAATCCTCCATACGGTAAAAGCATGAAACCTTACTTGGTTTGAAGGCAAATAAATAGTCAGGTTAGAAAGGCTAGTAAGCCTAACAAGTAAGAAGATCTAAATACATTGTCATTGTACCAGTGGCGCTCAGAAAATTATAAACAATGGTGCAGAGTGTAGCGGCGTTTTGAGGAAATCAATATCTAGTTGTATTCACCAATGTCAGAATACTTTTCGACGACTTAACTCTGGTCAACTAGGTGCATCAAAGTAATTCGGGCGTATTCTATTAAGAGACTTTGCTTGAAGTTCAAAGTCCCTCTTCGAGCTTACGATAAGACGACTTTGCAGGCGCTAAGGCAGAAACTCTCTCGTCAGATGCGTCTGAGCTTGCGTCGATTGCGTTGAAATGCAAATACTTGAAAGTTTGTACAACCCGTGGCCAAACTCTCAAACCAAAGCTATGGAGAACGAACAAGGGTAAGGACCTTCATGAAGCTTAAATAAATGCTAAAAAAAGCTTTTATAGAGCCATTAACTCATTTATATTCAGAATGAGAGAATCTGACAGATTTCACGTTGCATAAAGTTATAAGTTGTTAAATACCAAAACCAACTTCTGGTTGACAAATGTCACCCAAATCATTTAAATTTGTGATGACCACTACAAATGCTAATTTATCAAAAAAAAAAAAAGTGAAATATTATTGATTTTTATGTGTTTTTTGCGTTCCACTTTGTAAAACATCCTAAAATATGCGATTTTAGAGCAAACGCTGAAAGGAGTTTTACCCCTAACCTACAGTGGTGACAAAACCTTAACACTGAGTATAACGCATTGGCAGGCGGTCTTGGTTGTCTCTTGCAGGCAGCTCTAGAAAAAATCGGAGTTGTGCAGTAAAGCCCAAAAATCTTGGCGATACTATCACTCTGTAATTCAAGCGGTCGGGCGTTTTCTGCTGAGCATGCTCAATGAGGGCGTACGTGCACAAAATGTGTATTGAAAGTTCCATCATTACATTAACGGCCGGATCGTAGAAAAGGGGTACAGAAAAGGTCACTTTGAGCTTAATTACTGCACACATTTGCGTTCCCATCTGGTAAAGTGTGTGCACGCAGACAGATGGTCTTCCTTATCACTGGCACGATCTCGTGCCCTCGTGGCCAGCCCTCCCACCACGCGTCGTCAACGCGACACCGCCCCGCATTCATCGCGCGCCTGTGTAGCCTGCGGACCACCTCCACAGAGGCACAACAAAGCTGTCTTGTTGTTGTTGTGTCTGTTTGCACGGAAGTGCTAGTCGTAAAGACTACTGCTTTGGTTTCTTTAACGTTAATAGTTCAGCATTGCTATTAGAGGCATTGGAACAAAATCCTGACTGAGACAAATCAAGACACGAATTAAGTGTCCGTTTGCGATAAGACCCCAGGAGCCTGCAAAATTATCGACAAGCCTATCACTTACATGTAAATAGAGGCTAATAATACATTAGTGCCCATATAAACATTGACTGAGGGCATACAAATTTCTTTGAGGTGGTTAAGCTTGAATAAATTGAGGAAACCCATGCCGAAAAAATTCTTCTAGTTGCAAAAATGGCGCTGGATGCATTCGCGTTATGTTTACAACACGGAGAGTCAGCTGGTATATTTGTGGCTCCGAAAACTGCTCGAATGAATCAGGGACTTAAGGACATTTGTGGCTTACACTAACATGCTTATTTTACCTGGAGGATTGCTCTGTGACTCCCGGAACAAGAAAGAACATTTTTATGCAGAAAACCAGTATTTTAATGTTGCAGGATTATGAAGGTTCACAGAAATAGATTAGACTTACGGCATGCAGGCTTGAGCCCATTGCATTACAGACGGGTGATACACAAATGAGTTTTAAACGGGTGGGTTAATATCCAACGGTTAACATCAGCCCAAGTTCACAATGGGAAATTATGCGTGCGTTTTGGTAGATCTTTAATTCAAAAATACCTGCTCCAACTAGGGCATGGTAAGTAGTGGGATGACTACGCAATCAGAGGATTTTAGTAATTACACGTGTGCGCGTGTAGTTATGTACAAAGATCCAAATGGGAATTTGAGTCATGCTACCTAGGATAATTCAGCTTAAAGGAAAAGACTAGCTTCCACATTCATACCAGAAATGAGAATTTGATAAACGAATATACATGGCTGCTGCAATTAATTCTGATCCAGTTTCTGAAGACTAACACGTTAAGAATTCACCAGAATGATGGAACTTACTCAGTAAAAGATTAAGGACTACCAACGAAATTACAAACGCACTTTACTTTATAAGAAAATATCCAATTTCAAATAGTTAGTTCAAAGGGCAACATAACATTCAGACTAACGTTGTAAGGGTTAACATTTCCTAAATGCGCCATTTATTAAACGTATTCAACGATACAACATTAATGCACAAATACGTGAGAACATATCTATTAGAAGGTGATTGCATGAGCCGTCTAAACTGTGCAATTTAGCCTACACATGATGTTGCGTATCTATCCAAGTGAATAAGAGGACAGTCGGAGATAAACCCCACATAACATAAAGAGATGGAATTTTAGGGTTTCAATTCCCCTATTCGATATATGTGCAAAGGTGAATTATAGAGAGTAGCGACACGACATGGCATGCGCTGTTTTTGTGGCTGAGCTCCAAATGCCCTCAAACTTACTTCCTGTTTCTCCATTACCGTCTTTTGTGATTTGCCATGGATTGGGGACAATTTATCCAAGTATGGATGTTCCCTAGCCGACATTGGATGCTCACGTTGAACAATTGGGCAGATTATGTTATTATCTTCACAGTCCGAATGAATAGGACTTGTGCTCCTTAAACTCGACTGTTTCCGTGAAAGGTTGAGTGCATCAATACGAGCTTCCATCAGTTCATTCTTCAGTCTACAAATTTCCTCTAGGTCCCTTTCCCTTTGCTGTAAATAAAAAATCACAACATAATCCCCTCATATTAGGCTACTGCAAACCAGCCACCCGTAAATAAATACATTACCAATTCTAAATCAAGCAGTCGTTTAGATTTTTCTGTAAGTTTTCTGTCTAGTAATTGTGCTTTTGATTGCCGCTCCTGTTGCTCGGAGAGGCGGGATTCAAGATCATCGCGCTCTTTGATCAGGACATCGACCTCGACACTAAGTTCCTGACATCGAACCTAAAAGGTCAAAGTAGGTTATGTGGTGGGAAATTTGACCTTGTTTCTTCGATCTCCAAAAATACGTCTCCTTTTAGCCCAACGTTACAGAGATCAAACAGTGCAAAGCCGTGCGATTATTGATTGCACCTGAAGTGTCAAAAGAATCCAGGCAACTTACACAAGCAAAATTACAATGATCCTGACAACTATCATTGTATCATATTCCAACTACCTTGAAATCCATAGAGTCAGAGGAGAAATAATTTCATAAAATGGGAATGCAGTCGTGGTTCATCAGACAAGCAAATTGTGAACAATTCTGACACAGGATGATGGCGGTCTTTAAATGACTGCAAAGGCCATTACCACATGAAGGGATAAATCAGACAAAATTGATCATATAACGAAGAACCTATCTGGCGAGAATATGATTGACAATTAATAAAGTGACCCACCACGGTAGCACGGTAACATATTTTACCTGCGCGATTTTCATAAATCGTTATATTTAAGCGTCACAAAGACCTATTTAGATTCAAAATAGTAACATCTAACAAAAACAAAGCAATAAATCATGTTAGAATAAGTTGTGATTATCTTCAGTCGCCACCTTTAACATAAATCAAACTTGATTTACGCAGTCGCAATTTCTTTGCTACTCACCAGGACCGCGAAACACCACTTTATTGTTTCTAATATCTCTACACAATCGTAGTTTAGAATATGGTTCCTAAGCCCGCTAAAACTAGTCTATTCCCACAGTCAAAAAATATTTCAAAAGGGTTACCTTTGCCTTGTCAAAACGTACAGCCTGTTAATTAAAAGTAATTTACTTTGAGAAGTTGCCCTGAACATGAGGTGTACACTATATGAAGACCCCATTTGTAAAGGGTTTGTGAGAATGAACTACATACGTAATCCTAAGTATTGAAAAATTTCAAGCTCACTAAAATTGATTCAAGTTTCGTTCAAATTGAAAACAGAGCCAAATAAAATCACAAATATTTTATTCAATGCTTTACTAGGGCGACCACTGTACTATGAAGTGTCACATATCAAGGCAACTGACTAATTATGGATGTTAGCCCCTGCATCACGATTTTGACACTCGAATTTTGTTAAACGCCTTCTCACGCATTGAAAAGAACTGGTGGTAGACGGAAGTCGATATCTGAAACCAAAATGAATTGCCAGTTGAACAATAAAATGGCAACTTAATGTTTTTTCTTCAACTGATGAAAATTGCCGACTCCAGAGTATTTTTAAAAGAGTCCATGCAAACAAGATTAGGAGGCACTTGCCACTTTCATGAGTCACAGTTCGTCGTTGTCAAAAGTCACATTGGAATTCGCGAAATTTTTCACATTTGCAAAGGCCATAGACCAGATTTGTAACTTAGAGTTGTGACCTAGGCAAATGCAACTAGTAAACGTTGAGAATAACTGATATTACCCAATAATGCCTACTTTGTAGAACTGAGCTGCTTCAAGGCGTTGCTTTAATTTCTCGCAGGTGCGTTCAGCGTCACGAAGCTGAGCTATCGCAAGCTGTCCAGCGTCGGCTTCATCCTGCCAGTGTCTCGCCGCAGTCGCCGCGTCGGCCAATCGCATCCGTTCAACTCGCAGCTGATCCGCCTCCGAACGCGCCTCTGTTAGCTGCATTTGCATTTCCTCCAACTGATCCGCCTGTTCCGAACTAAATGGGACGTTGGAGCAAAACGACAAAATCCAACTAGCTTTGATACCCAATGTAATATTTTTCAAAACCGGAAAAATCGTTTTAACGGCATTACCGCCAAAATCATGCCATTGCTTAATTCTGCTATAGCACATACTTTTAGTAAATGTGGAAGCTACTAGAGGTCAAAAGTGAAGGACTTACTTCGACTGTTCGATTGGATAAGATTTGTAAAAATCTGGGATAAAGTGCTGCATGCAAAACAAATGCAGCCAAAATTAATGGCTTCATACACATGGTAAAATTATCCACCGTAGTAACTTAGAACTTGCAAGCTACGTGCCATTCTTACAGTCTTAACAATTAAAGAGCTCTGTGAGCCCTAGGTCTTGGGGCAGCAAACTATGTGATAGCAACTTACATCAAAATGCCTTGTTGTCTCAACTTGGCTTTGGTTTTGTCGATTTGTGCCACGATATGTTTCTTTTCATCAGTATCAATAAATGACTGAGTTTCTAAGAAGACCAAGAGAGTGTCCAAGTCTCTGCTATCCAACAACTCCGACCTGTCTTTTAGAGCCTCATCAGTGGGTGGGCGACTCTCATATCCAGTTTCTGAATTCGTCATAGTATCCGCATCCACGCCCATTGGATGATTTTGCATTTGTTCTCTGTCTTCAATGGTCCTTCTAAAGGCACAACCGATTAGTTCAAGAGAAGACGCCAATGAACGACTTCTCGAAAGGTTGACTGGAAATTTCTTATTAAGATGCTGCTCCTGTTGTAGTGTCAAAAGTGCACCTTTTTTTGGAGTCCGTTCCCGGTGTTGATCACTGACTCGACGGATGACTTCCTCAGCCAACTAAAACACAGGACGCGTTTAGCACAATGGTTAAGGCTCAAGCCAAAATAAGAAAGTCAATAAGGACTAACCTGAAAGTGTAGATCAACTCTACTCACAAGGGCTTTTATTAAGCCATGTCGTAGTTCATGTGTGAGTTCGCAAGTGCCAGTTAAGTTAACAGCTGAATCCGGACATTCTGTAAACTTGAACGACAAATACAAAGCGCATTAACGCATAAAACAGAAAGGGATCAAAACGAGATATAACGTTCTAACTTACGCCTGTAATACTCTGCATTATACCATTTTGAACATCCGTGCTGAGGTTTTCCATTATGCTTCGGATATAGAGTTCGCGTTTTTCACAGCTGATTGCAGCAAAAAGCAGTAAAAGGGTTGCACGTCTTAATTCAATCTTAGCTGCAACTAAAAAAATACAAACAGAACATCATTGTTTTAAGAAGCTGTTGAATTAATTATTTGGAAAATGGCTTAAAGTATTATAAACACTGAAAGCTCAAGGTGACATCCCTTGTGCAAATGATTGCATACTCAAATCACTAGCTTAAAAAATACAAAGAGTGGTGAGAAATCGGTGACAATTAAGTACGCTTTTTCAATAACTTATCACGAAGTCACTTTGAAAAAATACTAGATAATAAACGGACAATTTTTACTATAGCTAAATGCATTTTTTTAAATAAAGTATACAAGTTACTTAAAAGTACGTGTTCTTGTGTGAAGTCTACTACAAGTCACCCAGCAAATAAATGTTCTGAGGAATTTTACTAGATAATATTCATTGCATCTAAGTACTTTCCCTTGAAGAATATCAGTTACTTCAGCCAAATAAATTTATGCAGCTTACGTGATGAAGGTGAGTAGACAATGTGAAAAATGCTAGGCGGTGGCGCTATGATAAGCTGATGCAACTTGTCCTAAAAATCAAATTCCAGAAGAGATATAATCACATAATAAGGCAAATGTATTAAAATGGGACTTAAGCTTACAATGAAGAACTCTTCCAGGTTTTTAATAAGAAGCTTCCAATTTTGGACGCAGTTGTTGACGCTCGCGTTACTTAAAAGAGGCTCAACGGAAGTCCAGTCATAATCAGCTCTAAAAGAAAAATGAAAAAAGACATGTTCTGATGGGTGATGCAATAAGTTTGCCCATGAGAGTAATTACAAACTAAATTACTGACATTCATTTAACCACACTAGATCACTCGATCCGTACGTACTGCAAGGCTAGGCATGTCTAGAAGATTCAAATTTCCAATTAAAATCACGTTTAAAAATTGCAAGAGATGGCTGCAGTCTGCGGCGTTTAAATCCATATTTGACTTCTTATTGGGTGATAAATGAGGTTAAAAAGAGAGATATTTAAGTACATTAGCTGCATGTAATTAACATTAACCCACAAATGACTAAAATTAAAACATGTGCTTCGTTTACTTGCAACGTATAGGAAACTTTAGATATATATTAAATTTGCTACATATTGTTCTATCAAGTACATGCGAAAAAAGATCAGATGCAACCATCAAAGACTAAGCAGTAAATGAATCAACAGTGTATCCGCATAGCAAAATCAGGACTTGCATTTCGCAAAACACTTGATTAAGGAAAATGCCATCAGCAAAATCCTCTAATTGAATTCGTCGCTCATTTGACCAAAAAGTCGTGCACCAAACGGCAACATCAGAAGACAAAAAGTCATCCATTGACAGCAACATATAAGTGCCTTAAAAACGCGAAGCTTGTTCTGACAATGGAAACGACTGAACACGTAAACAACGAGAAATAGCGGAATTTAAGCCATCAAACTAAAAGCTCGCGTAAACGTGACCTAGCAAATTATCAATAATGTGGGTAATACAAACACATTTGTAATTCACATTATGCAGTAACAATCAAATTATAAAAATTATGTATAGTTAATTATAAATAGTTTACAAATTTAGTTTAAAATTTTGCCGTAAATCAAATCAAACCCGCATCACAATTTAAATGCAATTTTAAATTAGGATTAAATCGGTTGCTAACTACTTCCATGCATTTTGCATAAAGAATTAAAACAAATAAGTGGAAATCATCTAGGATTTGCTTTACTAGAACCGTGTGCTCAGTAAAAGAGACATTGAAGTTATGCTGGATTTAGAGGACACATCTTTAATTCATGTAAAACGTAAAACATGGCCCCAGGGAACTATACGCATATTAAAATAAGACATTTCGAGTTAAATGAAATCCAAATAATTATTTTGAAAATATGCTGCTTTTTTTCTTGTTCACAAGTCAATATGAATGTAAAAAGCCAAAAATAGTTACGCAATCCATGGGTTTTAATTAAGGAAAGTTGGTTTCCCCTCACCTAGAAATGCAAGCGGAAATAAGATCGCAATCTCTGTGGGTGTGTGCTGCGTCTACCTACTTTATTGACGCAAGAGGGAATTTTGAAGGTGGCTCTCAACGAAAATATGGCCGAAAGGTATTTGCAGAGCGAAATTGGATAATGGGAAGGAAGATATTTCATTGGCCCCAGCGTGTTTTACCTAGAAAACTGGCTGGCGAGTGTCATGAAGCTGCAGAATTTTGTCTCTCAATATCTTCATGCCTACTCCCTTTTCTTGAATTGCTTGCACTGGATATGCAGCCAAAATCACAAATAGCAGTAAAACAAGATATCTTGATAGTGCATAAAATTGACTTTATTAAGTATGGATACAATGGATTTGAAAGCTGATACCATATCTTGACGCAAAGAAAAACTTAAAATCGATTAGATCTAAGGACGTTCTAATCAAATTTTAGATCATTAGAACACCTAAACATGAGTTACTTTATTAATCTAATAGCTAATAAAATTGACGCATTCATGGCTCAAGTGCACAAATGCCTACGGTGTAATCGCATTCCAATTTTTTGTCTTTTTGGATTAGCTGACATAGTTTCACACAACGTATTGGTGTTTTTTACGCGGCTTCAGCTAGGTGTCCCGAACGGCAAAAGAACCCAGCTTAGTATGTCATCGACACTTACTTTAACATACTCACATACACATTAATTTCACTAGGTTATGTGTCTTACATTCCTCGTTCAGTTTCCGAGTATCTGTGATTAAAGGTGCAAACAAGGTGCTCAGATCATCAGCTAACTATGTTGGCCAGGGTTGACTAAATTCAACAAATTCAATTTTTTTATACCAGTGACATAGCCTGCCTCTATTAAACACAACGAATAATAGAGAAAGTTAGAGTTGCAATGCGACAATAGAAAAAGAGGATATACTTATGTTAAATTGGTTCATTCAACACCGTCGAATGCAATAATCGAGACTAGGAGAAAGCGTTGATTCACACCTGCCTTAAAGTGAAAGAAATATACTACACACTAAATCCCAGCACAGGACGATTGCAACAAAACAAATATTAAAACAATAAAATTTAAAAACAAATTAAAAATGGAACAACCAACGTAGACAGCATAAGATTTAAATAAATATGAATTAAATGAACGATCGTAAAAATTCCACCTTCAATTTTAAAAAGTATCCAAAAATTTCGAAAAAAGTTTGATTTGCAAAAACAACAACAAAAGTCTAAAATATTCAAATCACAAACTAATCAATTGGTACGTGGTAAAAAGGCCAGCTTGAGCAAAACAGACACGCGAATCCATCAAACAAAATCAGAATATACAAATAAGGCTGCAAACAGGAGAACAAAAAATTGAAGACAAAAAAAACATACCACAAGAAAATACAAAAAAATTAAAAATGAAAGACTCCAGTATTGTCACGCGATTTTACCTAACAAAGTGGTAGCCAGCTTTCTTGGTCCAGCAATGCACACTTGTGCAGATTCCCGAACCATCTATTGTGAAATGCAGTCTCTGGTCAGAGCTAACACGTCATCCAGCGCAACCGCTTTGGTATGCTTGATTACTGGCTGCAATTTCAAGCAGGTGTACCCAGTTTGGTGGTGTTAGTCGCTCCTTATATCGGCTTCGTTCTGGACTCGGGGGTC